TGGTAGGTGTGCATCCAGAAACCTTGGTGCTATTAATTTTGGGGACACCTGCCCCAGTCGTACATACGAGGTCGCAGCTCACAGTTGAAGAAACTAGGTGGTAGGGCCCGGCAGAAGTAGTGGGCATGCTGACTTCTCAGGGTTGAGACCAGTAGTGTTTCCCAAAGTGGGTACCCTTGCCCTGGGCTGGGGAGGGGGCTGAGAGGTGAGGGGAGTAAGAGCCTCAGGTGTGTATTGGGGCGGGGTTGGATGGGGTGGATTGCTTTGTTTCTTAGCTTTAACATAGTTTTCTAGGGCAACACTAAGTGGATTTTTTTTTTTCTGAAAAATGAGCTGTAGCCAGTTCCCAAAGCACTCCCCATCGAGGCCTGAGCTTGGAGGTAGAAGGGTGAAGGTTGCACAGAAATTTTCTGTACTGAGCTGCCGCTGGACAGCACCCTTTCCGTGGACTCGCACCACGGAACCTAAGTGCAGAGGCCCTTCCTGCCTTAAGGGAAGAGACGCAGGCCATGGAGAGCACGTTCCCAGTGACTCCGAGTCCCAGAGGATCGTGGAACAGAAGCAAAGTATAAGCAGTCAGGGCTGACGAGTGTGGGTGTTAGGTGACACGCTGGCTGGCCATAGCCCCTGGTGGGTTTCAAATGGGCATAGGACTTCTCTGATCTCTGCCAGGCACCTTACTGGCAGACATCCACGGGATGAGCTTTGCTCAGAGAGGGAAGCGAGCGGCCAGCACTGAAATCCCTGGACCACTCAGTGCCCTGTCATTTTGTGCAACTCTGCCATTGCCAAGGTCTCGAGTTGCATTCTGACCTTTCCTTTGTGCTTCGCTCTGATGATTGGGAGGCGCCGGCCAGGTTCTTCACGGCATTTTTTTTTTTAATTTTTATTAGTGAAACACCATGAGGTACAGTTGTAGACTTACAACTTTTTGTGCTTGGGTTTCAGTTATAAAATGATCCAGTACCCATCCCTCCACCAGTGCCCATTCTCCATCATTTACATTTTTTTAAAATTTTTTTGTTAGTGAAACACCATGAAGTACAGTTGCTTGGAGGCCAGCCACACACTCTAGGGGAAAAGGGAGCTCAGATAAAGAAAGGAGCATCAAATAAAGGGAGTGGGGAGGATCCTCCCAGCATGGGAGAAGCATGCTGAAAGTAGACTATAGACCAAACATGATTGCCACTCAATGCCTCTTTTGCAAACCACAACATCCAAAAGGAGAGAGAACAAAAGGGAATGCCCTGCCACAGAGGCAGGGTGGGACGGGAGGGATGGGGGGTGAGAGGGATACTGGGACCCGTGGTGGTGGATAATGGGCACTGGTGGAGGGATGAGTGTTTGATCATTGTACAATTGAAACCCAAGCACAAAAATTTGTAAGTCTTCACGGGATTTTGAGCTGAGCCTGACTCCGGGGTGCCGTGTGGTGCTGGGGCTCCAGCTCTGAGCCAGCGAGGCTGTTTCTCGGAAGTGGCTTCGGACGATCCCCTATAGCTCCCTCGATGTCCTTGTCCGTCCAGCAGTGGACACTGGCTGCTGGCCGCGCAGATCTGAGGACCCAGGGAGACCACAGGGGTATAGTTAGCTGGTGCCTGGAGGAGGGGCTGGACTGGAGGCAGTGGCGGGGGTTGTCCATTGAGGAGCAGGAGGGAGGTTGAGCTGGAGAATGGCCTTGGCGAGCCGGGAGTGATGAAGGAGCAAGGCTGGCAGAAACCCTGCAGGGAGGCAGGGGCGGGGGTGCCAGCAGAGCCTCAGAGACCCAGATGAGGGGTGACCAGGTGGGAGGCCGCTGGCTCTGCAGGGCAGGAGGCGGTTGGACGGGCAGAGGAGGTGTGGAACCATGGGTTTCCTCTCGGCCACCTGGGGTTGTGGAGAGATGTTGGGGGTCATTGGAGAGAAGGAAGTCAGAGCAGTGTGTGGGCGCACACAGAGCAGGGTGAGGTTGGGGATGGGGGGCTCTGGAGGGACTGGCTCTCTGAGAAGAGGGGAGAAGAGGAAAGCTGGGGAGATCTGCAGAGATCTGCAGCAGGAGAAGACACAGACCCGCCCCCACCCCTCTGTCCAGACGGGCACAGGCAAGAGAGCGCATGCCTTGGCCCGCATGGGAATCAGGGGCAGCGGAACCAGCTGTTACGCCTCAGCATGACCCAGCAGGGACCTGGCTTCTACAGCTGGTTCTGTCCAACCGGAAGTAAGTGTCTGCAACGAGATTGCTCTGTTTCTGCACCTGTAAAACAGGCCCAAAGTTGTACCCTCCCCATCAACATGGGAGGCTTCAGTGGGAGACTGTGAGGAGAAGTGAAAAAGTGCCCCAGACTGCCTGTACCTATTTACAAATGGTCCTGGGTCCATCCCCACATCCCCAGCACCATATATGGTCAGAGCTCCACCAGGACTGACCCCTGGGCACAGCCAGGAGTAAGTGATGGGTCAGGTGGGTCTGAGCCCCGGGATACACGCTCTAATAGCGTACATAGGTTTCCAGATTGTATCATCACCCCAGAACTGGAAGTTTTGAGCTGCAGGTCACTGAGACAACCCTGCTCAGCATGTCTAAGTAATGTGCTTGAGGGTGTTGTTGACTCAACAAACCTGTTTATTAGCGTCCTCGTGAATCCCGGGGCTCAGAACCCTGATCCTTGCCTCCAGTTGTCTGTGCACCAGCACCCCGCCCCCACCACCTGAAGTCTCTCTCCTGGTGGGTGGGAACAGCTTTGCACCTGCTAAATGGCGTTGGTTGTAAAGGATGACCTTTGTAAATAGGTACAGGCAGTCTGGGGCACTTTTTGTTTCCTTGTCTCATGCTCAAAGAGGGAGCAGAGGAATTTAGCTTCAGACGGCCTCTGTCGTGCCAAAGTTGCGGTGTGTTGGCTGACTTCTGCCCACACCTGTGGGTGATCTGTCAGGGTCCCCCAAGGTCTGAGACCTGCTTGTTCTGTTGTTTCAGAAGATCTTTGTGAGGTTGAGGGAGGGGTCCTAGTTTAGGTTGCACCTCAATCTCAGTAGCAATTCCTGCCCCTTTTCTCAGCTTCCACTTTTTCAAATTTCAGTAGATAGTGAGCTTTAATTTGGGTCATTGTCTCTAGAACTGCTAGGTTTATGGAAATAATTTTGATCATTCTCATACAAAAATTATAGAACTTTGCAGCTTCTTGCCAAAGGTTTAGGATGTGGTAGTGTGGCACTTCCCGCTTCCTCATTTGTATGATTTCCTTCTCTTGTGACCAAGACATATGACTTTAAATGGCTCAAGAAAAAAACTCATCATTTGTTTTAAAATATCTGAATTTTAAAAACGACCCAGAAATCCCGCTTTTGGGCATCCATCCCAAGAACACAGAATCATCAATGTCTAAGGATATATGTACACATATATGTATGGTGACTGTTCATTGCAGCATCATTTACCTTAGTTGAGGTTGGGAAACAGCCTGGGTGTCTACCAGCAAACAAGCGGATTAAGATATTGTGGCATGCATACGCAGTACTAACTGAACTATGAGAAAAAAATGGAATCTTGCATTTTGCTTCAACTTGTTTGGAAATGGAGGGCATCAGGCTAAGTGAATCAGAGAAATAGGCAGATGCGGGGTGATCACGCATATGTGGAATATAAAGAAAGCAAAGGAATAGACAATGCCCAATGGAAACAAGCCCTGTGATAATGACAACAGAGCTGGGCGGGCAGGAAGGATACCCGGGCACAAGGATGGTGGGTTGGGTGCAGTAATCCTGTGAGCATGAAACAGTAATAGTGCTATACATCCTGATGCCACAATGAAGAATGATTGATACTATACCTGAAGAATGAATTCAGAAAAAAATCATATTTACCCAAGTGATTCTCCCATCTGCTTGCTCCAACCTCCTGCCTATTTTTTTTTCCCTGCCATGAGTTTAGGGCTTCGTGAATTGTCAGAGGCTATATATGGGGTATGTGTGGGTCATCATGCCCCTGGTGAGAATTCATGGTGTCACTTCTGTTCTGATTTTTGTGATGATTTTTCCGCCTGATATTGTGGGTGTGGGTGTTGCCTCTGGGGATCTTGTTTCCCTGTGGGACAACAGGGATGTCTGCCAGACGCACAGGCCCGCCCAGCACTGGTGGCTGTGGTGTCACAGTGCTTCCTTCAACGCCCTCCGCCCTTCTGAAGTCACTGTGGCCTTGTGACTCTCACGTGGGGAGTGAGTGACTCTTAAGAAATCTTTGCTTGAGAAGTTTAAACCTTTTGAGATCGCTGAGGCGATTTCCTTGCAGCTTGCGTGCCCCTCGCTCTCTTGCTGGTGTCGGGGAAGGTGTTGCTCCTGACCGGGGGATTGTAGTTTGGGTGGTATGTGGGTATCCGTTCACCTCAATACACACAAACATGTTCTTTCATTACCTAGAATGTAAATGGTTCCTGCCAGAGTATGTGCAAATGATGTCTTAGTAATCACAAACTCATGTGCCAACAACTTGCTTTCCTCTGCACTCATGTGTACCTGGAATTGTCGCTTTCTCTTAACCAACAGACTAACTGCAAGTAGGAATGATGAGTGATTTCAGTTACTTGCTTCCCTGACAAGCCCTTGTTAGACGTTTGGTTTGTTCTAATTAATGTTTTTCAAAATGTTATGTCTCCTGGGCTGGAGCGATAGCACAGTGGGTAGGGCATTTTCCTTGCACACGGCCGACCCAGGTTTGATTTCTCCGCCCCTCTCAGAGAGCCTGGCAAGCTGCCGAGAGTATCTCGCTCTCATGGCAGAGCCTGGCAAGCTCCCCATGGCGTATTCGATATGCCAAACACAGTAACACGTCTCACAGTGGAGATGTTACTGGTTCCCACTCGAGCAAATCGGTGAACAACAGGAGAATAGTGCTATAGTGCTACAGTCATGCCTCCAGCTCTTCAGTTCATCTTGCACACTCCACTAGGAGGTTCTGTAAAAGGCACTTTTTGTTGTTGCAAATGGTGTTAGGCCCTAGCCAACCAAGTTTTGTGTTGCTCCCTTAGGTGCGTGCACAGGCTTGTGTGTGGTATGGAGAGTGTGGAATTGCATCTGGAGACAAGAGGTACAATTGTGAATATTCTGGGCCACCAAAACCACTGCCAAAGGATGGATATGACTTAGTACAGGTAAGTTTGTGACCTAGACTTTGGGAATGCAAAATGCGGGTCGTGAGAGCCTCTGTAATCATTATTTCAGTGTTAATTGTGGGATGGAGGTAGAGCTGAAAATCTTTTTTTATGTTTCTAAGTTTTTTTTTTTAATTAAAAAACTTATTTTTAGATTTAAAACATCATGAATTACACCCCTGTCAGGGACTTAATTTGGTTCCTCAAATGTCGCCCTCCTCAGCTTCTTTAAAGACACTCATGATTTTCAGGTATATAATGTTCCAGTATAAATCCCTTCGCCAGTGTCCACTACCCTCCACCAGTGTCCCCAGTATCTCTCGACAGAGACCCTTTCCCCTCCCCCATTGTCCTAGAGTTCCCTTCCCTAACTTATCCCTGTCCCCTAGCCTGGTGGCAAGCTTCCTGCTGGACACCACTTCTGCTCTTCATATCTGTTGCCTTTGGCAGTTGATATTTCCCTCCGAGGTTTCTTTGTATCCCATATAACAAGAGAGATCATTTTGATAGACCTGAATCTTACCCCAAATTCTCACACAACACATAGGCAGAGAAGATACTAGAACTCCAAAGGCTTAGATGTTGTAAGAGTTGACTTCATTCTTTCCTCATAGTTTCCTGTAAACACACCCCTGTCAGGGACTTAATTTGGTTCCTCAAATGTCGCCCTCCTCAGCTTCTTTAAAATAAGTGACTAAGGGGACTGGAGCAATAATACAGTGGGTAGGACGTTTGCCTTGCACACGGCCGACCTTGGTTCGATTCCCAGTTCCCATATGGTCCCCCAAGCATCGCCAGGAGTAATTCCTGAATGCAAAGCCAGGAGTAACCCCTGTGCATCCAAAAAAAAATAGGTGACTAAATTTTGTTTATTTACTTATTTTTTGGTTTTAAACCTAGATTTTTGAACTTGAGTGAACTCAGACTCTGAGCAGGTGTGTTTCCCTTGTCCTGTGTTCATTTTAACGATTCCTTCATTTTACACCAAGCACCTATGAACTTTGCCACCAGGATTCTGTTTTCAGTTGTCACATTTACCATCACTGATAAACAGGGTGATTAGAAAAGAACTAGAAAGTTCCAGGTGAAAAGGCTGTTTATTAGTCACTTAAGCTGTCCAAAATCAAGTTGGTGCAAGAGTAGGTCTTCAAGACTGACTTGCTAATTTTGTCAGAATTATTGAAGATATTTGGCTTGCCCTGGACTGTCTAGGAAAATTTAGTAGTATTCTGGTTGAAATTAAACAAGCCAAAAAACAAAACCAAAAAACAAAACCTAAGAAGTGGTCAAATGATTGGCAGGGGAAGGAATTGTGCTTCCAAATAAGAGAAAAAGACATGTACTATCTCTAATGTCCCTCCTTTTTTATTTTTTCCTTTTTTTTTAATTGAATTGAGCTACACTTTCAAAGCTTTCATGTTTGAGTTTCAATCATACAGTGATAGAACACCCATCCCTCCACCAGTGTACATCTTCCACCACCTCCTCGCCACCCCTCCTTCCCGCCCCTCCCCCTGCTTCTATGGCAGACAGTGGTCCCTCTTTCTCGCTCTCTCTACTTATGGGCATTATGGTTTGCAATACAGATGAGAGGCCGTTATGTTTAGTCCTTTATCTGCTTTCAGCACATCTCCCATCCCGACCGATCCCTCCAACCATCATTGACTTAGTGATCCCTTCTCTATTCCAGCTGCCTTCTCCCCCAGCTCATAAGGCTGGCTTTCAACTATGGAGCAATATTCCTGGTCCTTGTCTCTACTGTCCTTAGGTGTCAGTCTCATATTATGATATTTTATATATTCCACAAATGAGTGCAGTCATTTTATGTCTGTCCCTCTCTTTCTGATTCATTTCACTTCCTTGCTAATTTCTAGTTTACTTTTCTTTTTTAAAAAAGAAAGCTAAAAACTTTGCAAATAAACCTTACCCTAATGCACCTAGAAGAGACTTCATAAGTGAAATTCTCTGAGCTGTTTATCCTTATTTAGCCATGCTCCTCTGATATTTGTGCCCTTCCACCCAACAGGAACTGTGTCCCGGATTCTTTTTTAACGATGTCAGTCTTTGTTGTGATGTTCGGCAGCTTCAGACACTGAAAGAAAACCTGCAGCTCCCTCTGCAGTTCCTGTCCAGGTAAGTTGCACTAGGCAGTCAAGAGGAGAAATGGGCTTTAGGTACCTGTTGCCCCTGTAACATTTTGATGTCCCTTAAAATGTCATTTTGGTTCTAAGAAAGCAACCTTCTGGCCACCAGGATAAAGAACACTGATAAAGTAACAGTGATCAGACTTAGTTTTCTTCTTAGTTGCCTTCCAGTTGATAACCTGGTTTCCCTCTCAGATGTCTCCTTTGCCGAGGGGTCTCTGCCCTGTGGATTAGGGTCTTTCAGGGCGACTCGGCGCTCTCTGCCATGAGGGAGACAGTCTGGTGATCCTACGGCCATCTCTGACCAGCCTCCATCACACAGTAATCTCTCTGCATCGCGGCCCTTGTCATCTCCATTTTTCTGGTTCCTCACTCATTGCACAGTGGCATGGTGGCTTCAGAACCCTGATCCTCAGCTGAGCTGGCCATGGGTCACCAATCACAAGCTTGGCTCGTTTTGTTGGCTCATTTTGTCAAAAACTTTCATTTGGCTGTTCAGTCTATTCTCCGAGGGCAGAGCAGTGAAAAGGGGCCGCATAATAGATGTTTTTCTCTAAGCTCACCTGGCGATTCTCAGATAATACAGGAGTGGCATCTGGAACAGAGTGGGTGATTTCTCCCTGAAGTGGCGGGGCTTGTACACGCTGAGTGGGCAGGAAGAGCTTCTCTGTGCAGGGAGCATAGGCCAGCCTCCACGCGAGAACTCTGCTGCTCACCAGAAGTTTAAATCAATGCTGCAGAGTGGGAGAGCCACCCCACAGACGTTCTTTCAGTGGAACATAAAGCAGAGTAATAGATTGAAAAGTCATGCCTTAATTTGGGCCAGTGTACTCTGTAGAGGGCCACTGGGATGTACCATGGAGCCAGATGGCAGTCACTAGACAAAGATACATTTTTCTTTTTGTTTTATTGTTTGTTGGGAGGTGGGGGCGGGGCAGAGGTACAGAGCTATATCTGGTGGTATAGCTCAGCAGCTCTTCCCAATTTTGTGCTTGGGGCTCACTCCTGGGGACTGTGGTCCTGCAACTCAAATCCAGACCTCCTGCCTGCAGAGTGTACACCCCATCCATTAAACTCTCTCTTCAGCCTTCAAGTACAATTTTTTTTTTTTTAATTAAGCCCTGGCAGTGGTTTGAGCTCAGAGATCACTCTTGGCTCTGAGCTCAGAGATCATTCCTAATGGGACTCAGGGGACCAGCTGAAATGCCAGGGATCGAACCCAGGTCAGCTGCATGTGAAGCAGCTGCCTCTCTGCTATTCTTTTGCTCCAGCCCCTCAAGATACATTTTTAGCGCCTACTCTAGAGGAGGCATTTGAACATAAACATCAAACGATAGCCATGTTATCAGAGGGACCAAAGTTCTACAGTAGCGAATAATAAGCGCCTAATGCTGTGGTCAGACTTTGATGGTGGTGTTGGCTGGGGAGGTGCCTCCGGGACACTGCACATGCTTTTCATGCAGGAGGCTGCATTTGGTCCCTGGCACAGCATGGCCCCTTGAGTACCCAGCCAGGAATGCTACTGGGTTTGACTCCAAACCCCTTCCCTCAGAGAGATGATTATGAAGATTTGTAATTCATGAAAGGTGATAAAAACTGTGTCTCCAAGCGTGATTTTTTTGCTTCGTACCGTGTGGTTGTCATTCCTGTTTTTATCCCAGTAAGTCATGGGACTCCTAAAAGTCCTTTGGCAAAGTGGAGGCTCCTGAACCTGAAACCCCATCTTCCTCCTCCTTTTTGTGTCCAGTGCAGTTCCCTGCACCAGAGCAGAGGCCAGTGTCATCTTGATTTGATTGTGTTGCAAGACTGCAAGTGTAATGAAGCAATACGCTTTTGCAGATAACAGGGAACCAAAGAGAGGAGAAGTCTCTTGAGCAGTGAACATTAACAGCTTAAACTTTGAATTCTGGGACAGAGACAGTTCTGGTTTTCATGAAAATTCGTGTACTTCTGAGATACACAGGCCAAGGCTGTTCTTCTCAAGTTATAGGGAAAGCCTTTTCAGAGCAGACCTAAGGATTATCTAGGGTGTGGAAGACCTCCCTTCAGTAGGTTATACGATGAAATTTTGAGTGTGTATCTTCATTTCTTCTCATCAGAATCATTTCCATCGTCCTTCTCCTGCGCCCCTTAAGACAAAGGATGCATGTCTGTGGATTATAAAGCATATTTAGAGAACATGGTTCCTTTTATGAAGTTAATTCTGGACACTTAGTAACGGGAGTCGTGTTTAAAGAGATCTATGTATTTTAATACGATTTTAGGTCTAGAATTGCTGGGCTTAATATATTCTCATGGTAATTCATTTGTCACTTTCGTAGATTTAAAATACTCATTGAATTCTTTCAAGACATCTTTTTGCTGATCCCGTTTTATAAAGCTGATGCAGAATATAATTAACTTTTCTTTAGATGTCCTTCCTGCTTTTATAACCTCATGAACCTATTTTGTGAGCTGACATGTAGCCCTCGACAGAGTCAGTTTCTAAATGTTACTGCAACTGGAGATTATGTTGATCCTGTTACAAACCAAACAAAGACGAACGTGATAGAGCTGCAGTACTATATCGGAGAGAGTTTCGCCAATGGTAAGTAAACTTTGAAAACCTCATCATGTATGTCAATACTCACCTCTGTGCACGTGTAAATATGGGTAAGGATGTGGCGTGGTTGGGATGCTAATACACCAGATCACTGGGTAACTGTAACTTAGTGCAAGCATTTGAAAAGTCATTCAAAAAATGATTTTACAATGTGTGTTGAAGGTCACTTATACTTTTTCCTTGTAAATTGCACTTAGAGATACTTGTCATAGAGAAATTTTTAATGTGTGTGAATAGGAAAACATACAAAAACATTCATTGTCATTTTGTGATGGAGAAAAATTGCAGACTTCTGTAGTACGAGAAGACAAGTGTAGAATGTGACACATAACAAACATAACGAACATAACACTTAAAACTAGAGAGTAAAAATGTAAAGAGCACAGTCGACCTGAACCGGACACCCAAGGGAAATGCATGTATGATAAATAAACTTATGAAAAGATGCTCTATATTCATTAGAAAGACCAGCATGTAAAATCCCAACAGCACTCCCAAGTTGGAGCCAAATCAAACTACTTGGTGAAAGCAAAACGCTGTAGGGAACATGGCATGGGAAACGGTTTTTCAGGAAAAGGCCATATACTGTAGCCATCACATTCTGTTGGTATATACTCAAAGAGTCGAAAATCTTTGACCGCACAACCTGTACCTGGATGTTTATAGTAACTGAGTTCACAAAATAATGTTGGGGTGCTGCTGCTTCAACACATGTGCGTTGGGTGGCCCAGTGCCACCTCCCATCCTTTCAGGCCTTCCCAGCAGAGAGACAGAGAGATGGGGGGACCACCACCTGATGGTGAAAATGGCCAGTTTAATGCAGAGCTGCTAGTATACTTATAGGACTGTCTTAAGGGGGGTTTAGGTAAGAACATAGGTGTGATTGATCATTTACGTAGCTAAAATATCTGGAAATTTACATAGATCACTTGTATAGATAAACAAGGAAATTCTCTTGGGAAGATTAACTCAAGGAGGCACTCTTATCTCCCAAGGAGGACAGCATTGCTTTTATCTTTCCCTCTAGTTGTCTATGTTATCAGTACTTGCAGTTGTTTGGATAAACACAGTAAGAGACAAAGATCGCACCTCTTAGTTCTCTGGGCTCTGAGAGCAAGCAAGTCTTTTACCATAAATCCCAGACTAAGTCCTAAAGCTGGTTCAGCATGTCCTTTCCCGTGGGGTCCTGTCTCTTAAGTCATAACTGCTTGCATCAAGACAGTGCATATATGCGTCCGAGACTGTCCCATTTCAATGCCAGGGTAGCTTTGCCACTTGCCCCTGGTCCATTCCGGTCCCATGGAAGGACCTTCCTTTTGGGGTGTTAGGAACTACAACAACTGAAGCCTGAGTCAAGTAATTATGATGGATGCCCAGAGTCAATTAGCTCCCAAATTTTAAGAGCATTGCTCTATAGTAAAATATATAAAGGCTATAGGGGAAATAGAAAAGCAGGTACCAATACACAGCACTTCAAATATAAAGCACAGAATTACCAGAAAGTTTTGGCTTATAAGTAATCAAGACTGACTTGGGGAACTGTGATGAAGAGAGAGAAAATACAAAGGAAAAGTTAAAGATAAGCTTTAACTAAGTTAGGGATGCTAGTGGGCTGGAGTGATAGCACAGTGGTAGGGCATTTGCCTTGCGGGCTGGCTGCCCGGCCAAGCCAGGTTTGATTCCTCCGCCCCTCTCAGAGAGCCTGGCAAGCTCCCCGTAGTGTATTCAATATGCCAAACACAGTAACAAGAAGTCTCACAATGGAGTTGTTACTGGGCCCGCTCGAGCAAATTGATGAACAACGGGAGGACAGTGACAGACAGTGACAGGGATGCTAGCAAGAGCATGGTAAGCTTCTCTGGGAGGAAGAAAAGGGGCAATTCACTGATGAAGCCCAAAACATTTAGGGTTAAACATTTAGGGTAATTAAACTCATAATTGCCAAAACTTGGAAATAGCCAGGTACCTTCAGTAGGTGAATGAATGCATCCAGACAATAAAATGTTATAATCAGCACTGAAAGGAAATGAATTTTCTAGCCATGAAAAGACCTGAAGGAACCTTAAAGTGTGTGTTGATAAGGGAAAAAAGCTAATAGATCGCTAGTTGCGAGAGTTGTGGTGTTATAATGGTGGGCAGTGATTTGTTAAAGTTTATAAAACATAAAACAAAAAGTACAGGATCTAGAGAGATAGTTCAGGACAGGGACAGAGGCATGGTGGTGTCTTTTATCCCATTGTCTTTTATCCCATCAATCCTGGTTCAGTCTCCAATACTTAGTAATATATGGTTCCTTGACCAGCAGGAATACTACCAGGTATGGCCCCAAAACCCCCTCCTCCCCAAAAAGGGACAAAATAATATTAAGAAGAAAGAAATTTCATTGAAGTGTCATAATTTATAATACTGTTGAAATCACTGCTTATAGTTTACACCAGTCCTCTACTAGTGTTTCAGGAACTCTCCACCATTATAGTTTCTTGATTTGGGGTCATATCTACAGATCATTCCCCAGTCCCCAACAGAGTGATGACTTGTTACAGTTGATGAATCCATATTGCTACATCACAATCTTTCAAAATCCACAATTTACACATTAAGATTTACTCTAAATATGTCACATTTAATTTTTCTCATTTAAAATTTTTAGTTTTTTTCCTTGGGGCCAGAGAGATGATACAAGACTTAAGATGATGGCCTCACATGCATGCAGCAGTCAGCACTGCACAGTGAGACCACTGTACTCTGCTCATTTTTCCTATAAACCACAGCTACTCCGAAAATGGAAGTACATTTAAAATACTTAAGACGGAGCAGTAGTACAGTGGGTAGGGTATTTTCATTGCACACAACCGACCTGGGTTTAATTCCTGGCACCCTGTCTGGTTTTCCAAGCCTACCAGGAATGATCCTGGAACACAGACCCAGAAGTAAGCCTTGAGACCGCCAGGTGTGGCCTTCCATAATCCCCCTCCCCCCAAAATTGGGAACACTAAATATCATAAAGAAGAGGATATGTCAGTCTATAGAAGCTATAGTCAATCTGAAACACAAATACACACTGTCCTCCCCTTGTTCATCGATTTGCTCGAGCGGGCCCAGTAACTTCTCCATTTTGAGACTTGTGACTGTGTTTGGCAGATTGAATACATCACGGGTAGCTTGCCAGGCAGGCAAGATACTCTCGGTAGCTTGCCGGGCTCTCCAAGAGGGACAGAGGAATCAAACCTGGCTCGGTCAGGCTGGCTACGCATAAGGCAAACACCCTACCTCTGTGCTATCGCTCCAACCCATGTAATAATTAAGCCATTAAAATATGTGAATTGGGGCCAGAGACATAGTACAGCAGGTAAGGCATTTGTTTTGCATGCAGCTGACCCATGTTCGATCCCTGGATCCCTGGGTGATTGATGCCAGGAGTGCCAGGAGTGATTCTGAGTGCCGAGCCAGGAATGATTCCTGAGTGCCGAGCCAGGAATAAGCACTGAGCACTCCCTGGTGTGGCCCAAAAAACAAAAATAAAATACATGAATTATATTTATGTCATTTAAAAATACTGACTTAACAGAAAGAGAGGGACAGACATAGAAGGACTGTACTCATGGGAGACTAACACCCAAAGATAGTAGAGGTAAGGACCAGCAGGATAGCTCCACGGCTGGGAAGCCAGCCTCACATGCTGGGGGAAAAGGCAGCTCAGATAGAGAAGGGAACACCAAGGAAAGGATGCTTGAGGGCCCGCTCGGGATGAGAGATGTGTATTGAAGGTGGACTATAGACTGAACATGATGGCCACTTAATACCTGTATTGCAAACCACAACATCCAAAGGGAGAGAGAAAGTAAAAGGGAATGTGCCTGCCACAGAGGCAGCGGGGCAGGGTGGGTGAGTGAATACTGGGAACATTGGTGGTGGAGAACGGGCACTTGTAGAGGGATGGGTACTCGATCATTGTATAACTGAAACGTAAGCACAAAAGTATGTGAGTCTGTAACTGTGCCTCACGGTGATTCATTAAAATAAAAATTAAAAATTAAAAAATATATCGACTTAAAGTTGCAGAATATGCATGGAATATGTATTAGTTTTAAAACAGTGCTTACAAAGTCCCGTGAAAGAACATAAAAATGCCTAGAGAAGTCAGCGATCAAAATCAGTGGTTACTCAACACCCAAAAGGAGAGAGAGAACAAAAGGGAATGCCCTGCCACAGAGGCGGGGGGGATGGGGGGATGGGGAGTGGGAGGGATACTGGGATCCATGGTGGTGGAAAATAGGCACTGGTGGAGGGATGGGTACTTGATCATTGTATAATTGAAACCCAAGCACAAAAATTTGTAAGTCTACAACTGTACCTCATGATGTCTCACTAATAAAAATTTAAAAATTTTAAAAAATAAATAAAATTTTAAAAATATTGAAAAAAAATCAGTGTTTACTATTAGTAGATATTCATTGCAGGGGACCGTCAGGATGCTTCAACTGTATCTGTAGTACATTATGTTTTTTTCATGTTGAGTCAAATGTAAAATGGTTAAGACTAATGTAGCTAGGTGGTAAGTAAATGAGAGCTCTTTACTCTCTGTTTTTAATATGTTTGAAATTCTTAACATCAACAACAAAAGTCTTTGAAAACCAAATGGTAAACTGGAAAATGTGAGGTATTACCCAGAGAATGTCGGAGCTCTATAGATTAGGAAATTATTCCAGAAGTAATGGGGGCCAGAAAGATGGTACAGAGGGTAGGGCACTTGCCAGCCTGGTTTTGGACACTGGAGATTCAGTAGCAGTGGTGAGGCTAAAAGGATTACTCAGCAGAAAGAAAATAATTATCACTCTGATTGAACTTTTCTGGAGTAAAGGTCCACAGTAAACTTAGAAGCTTCTCCTTAGAGTTCAGGAGATCTGGGAAGTTTCTAGCAAGCAGAGACTGGTAAATGACAAGTATTCATTCCTGTTTCTTCTGTATTAGCACAGCGTCGATCCTTTCTTCATTTAGCGTGGCATCTTGGTGCTCACAGAGCCGCAGAGCTCACACAGGGTCCCCTCACATGTGGCCTCTGCCCTGAACCCAGACTTCCTCTTCTCTCATTGAGAGCTTTCTGCCTTCTAGAGCAGGTTCATTGACTAAAGATTCACCTACATTGTTAGCCTCCCTTTTCTCCACTTTTGTTTGCACTTCTGTACCCGGGATAGTAGTCCCAAGCTGCGGGAGAACCACAGGGGATGATAATGTGTCTTCTGTTTTTTGGGTTTTTTTTTTTTAATCTCCATTACTAGAAATTTGACTTAGCCTGTTACTTGGAAAATGATAGGCTGGTTCAGAGGGATCTCTGCTCCTGCCCTCTCTGATTCCCATGCTGAGTTCCTGCCTCTCAGATGGGGCCTCTGATTGCTGTGCATGTGGGTTTCGGAGCTGGCCTTTGAGTGGCCTCCTGTAGATCTCCCCCGATGAATGATGGCAGCATGGTGTTACCCCCTTTACCTTCTCTTTCTTCGCTAGCCATGTACAATGCCTGCCGGGATGTGGAGGCCCCCTCAAGCAATGACAAGGCCCTGGGGCTTCTGTGTGGGAAGGAGGCTGAAGCCTGCAACGCCACCAACTGGATTGAGTACATGTTCAACAAGGACAATGGGCAGGCGCCCTTCACCATCACGCCCGTCTTCTCAGGTAGGAATCCAGAGCCCCAGGTTTGGTGGGTGGGTGACGTTTTCAAGTCCATGAAGTGGCAAGTGCATTACAAAAATCAGGAAATGCAGAGTAGTAGTTTCCTCCAGGAGAGAAGTGACGCGAGCCTTTTTCCTCCCCCTGGCCAGTTAGGGCAGTGGGAGTGGAGGGGGAGGAAGGGAGGTCTTCAGGCACTTAACTGAAACATTGGCCTTGTGGGCCAGACCTTAGTGCAGTGGGGAATGCGCCGGCCTTGCACGCGGCTCACTCTGATCCCTGGCACTTGGTATGTCCCACCAGTAGTGATCCCTCAGTGCAGAGCCAGGAATAAGTCCTGAGCACTGCCAGGTGTGAACCCTTAATTTTTTTCTTTTTCTTTTTAAAGAACAGACTTACCGGGACTGGAGTGATAGCACAGCAGGTAGGGAGTTTGCCTTGCACGCAGCCGAACTGGGTTCAATTCCCATCATCCTGTATGGTTCCCTGAGCATGGCCAGGAGTAATTCCTGAGTGCATGAACCAGGAGTAACCCCTGTGCACCACTGGATGTGACCCAAAAAGCAAAAATAAATAAATAAAAAATAAAGAACAGACTTACCTGTTTCTAAGAACCTAAAAAGCTTTAACCACCCTCCCCCCAATATATTTTTTTCTTAAAAATAAAGCCTTTTCAGAAGCTCCATAGTAGTGTTAGACTAGTTCTTCGGTAAAGATTCGATATGATGGGAAGTTTCTTTCTGGAATGTGGTGCACTAGGATATCAGTGGTGAAACCCTGTGCCCAAGTTACTGGGGTCGTTTCAGCCTCTATGGGAGAAACCAACAGTCCTTTCCCCGCTGCTCCCGTCGCCCTGCTTCCATTCCCTTTGTCCTTGGGGCAGCATGCAGCTCAGTTGCCATGCTCCCCGGGTGACACGGTCCTTCACGGTGCTCACTGGGGGTTACACGCCTGCAGCTCACAAGGCATCCACCCCATCAGCTGCTCACACGTGCCTGGCAGTGGAGGACTGGCTGGGAATTTCGCTGGGATGACAGGTGTCGGAAGTGTTCTGGTCCTGCTTGTCCCACACAGCAGCACTGGGACGTGAGCTCACGGCCTGAGGCTTGCAGGACAGGTGCTTCAAGCCGCTGACCCCTACTCACTGAGCTCTCCCTCTGATTCTTTCTTTACTTCCTGTTGTGCATTTGAATGCAGGGTATTTTTTGGGGGGGGGGCAGGGGTTCACACTCAGAGACGGTCAGGGGTTACTCCTAGCTCTTCACTCAGGAATGACTCCTGGCAGTGCTCGAGGACCATATGGGATGCTGGGAATCAAACCCGGGTCGGCTGCGTGCAAGGCAAACACCCTACCTGCTGTGCTATCGCTCCAGCCCCTGAATGCAGTTTTATAAGGACTTTGTTTTTCCTTGAGCTACTCAACATGATTTTCCCCCTCAGACCTTTCGATCCACGGAATGGAGCCCATGAACAATGCCACCAAAGGCTGCGACCAGCCTGTGGATGAGGTCACGGCACCGTGCAGCTGCCAGGACTGCTCAGTCGTTTGTGGCCCGAAGCCCCAGCCCCCACCCATGCCTCCTCCCTGGAGAATCTTGGGCCTGGATGCCATGTATGTCATCATGTGGATCACCTACATGGCATTTTTGCTTGTGTTTTTTGGAGCGTTTTTTGCTGTGTGGTGCTACAGGTGAGTCGGTTTTGTCTGTCCTCCAGAGCAGAACGACCCAAGTAACACTTCCACTTTTGTTTGGCAGATGGTTGAACAGAACAGAGAACTTGGACAGTCTTGCAATCCCCCCGCCCCCATGACTTTTGTGGAACAGACCACGTGTACTACAGGGCACCATCTGCCTTTGTGCTGGTGTCCTTTGACCATAGAACGTACCTTTCAGTTCCACAGGCCTTTTCTAGTCCCATCATTTATTTCGTTGCTCATGTTTTCCCAATTTTGGCCAGTCTTTCTTAAGCCAATTTTTCGTTTCTGGAATCACAAACAATTCCAGATTTGGTCATGCTTTTGCCCTACCCCAGCCCTGAAACCAGCTGCTTCTGCAAGGAACCTGGTTCTTTCTGTTAGAGGACAGCTCTCCACCTGCAGGTTAGCTCACTGCTCCTTCAGGACAGTGCTTACTGGATTTTTAAAGGTTAAAAATTTAAATAGAATTGAGGGCTGCACAGTGCGACGATCCATTGTTAAGGGGGTGCGTAAGTCGTTGGGGGAACTAGCGACAAATCCCCCAGTGAGCACTATATTGAAGTTGCAGTGAACAGTGAGCCTCCTGTGCTGTGTTCCGGGGACCTTGTGGCCACTCCTAGCGACCTTGACCAGCTGGAGTAGATGGCTGAACGCTGGGGCCCACAGACATGGCACTGCTTAGACCCCATGGTACCAAGGAACCCCCAAGAGCCTCTCTGAGGTGCTGGGGGCCTTGAGTGAAGGAACTTAGGGGGAAGTGGCGGCCGGCGGGAGGAGGCAGTGAGCTGCAGTGGGGCTGCCCAGATGCCTCCTTATGCTGAAGTGGGCTTTTCTCTTGCAGGAAACGCTATTTTGTCTCTGAGTACACCCCTATCGACAGCAACATCGCATTCTCCGTAAACGCCAGCGACAAAGGTAAGTGTGCTTCTGGGCTGGGACTGTGCTGACCTGAGGAAGCCCACTGTGGGGGGCGGGGGGATGGGCACAGTTGCGACTGAGCAGGTCTGGGGTCTGTCGGGCTGTGACTAGCAGTGGAATAACTCGGGGCTAGGGCTGCCGCCACCAAGAGAGGGGCAGTGGGAAAGGACGCTGTGGCAGCCGCTTCTTTGGGCAGACTGAGAGAGCTTCGCTTCAGGGCCTCATGGACTCGAGGTGGGGGACGCTGGGCGTTGTGGAGGGAATGTGGCCTCCAGAAGACGTGGTGGTGGGTGGCGAAGGGCCCAGGAAGTGTGAGCAGGGGCCGGGGGCGGGGCCGCGGCTAACGCTCTCCCTGTTCCGCCTTTCAGGAATGGCTTGGCTCTTAACCTCCACCCTCCCTTCCTCTCCCGCCCTTCCAGGGGAGGCGTCCTGCTGTGACCCCCTGGGCGCGGCCTTCGAGGGCTGTCTGAAGCAGCTCTTCACCCAGTGGGGCTCCTTCTGTGTCCGCAACCCCGGTGTCGTCCTCTTCTTCTCCCTGGCCTTCATCGGGGCGTGCTCTTCGGGCCTGGTGTTTGTGCGCATCACCACCAACCCGGTGGAGCTGTGGTCTGCCCCCAGCAGCCAGGCCCGCCAGGAGAAACAGTACTTTGACACGCACTTTGGGCCATTCTTCCGCACGGAGCAGCTCATCATCCGGGCCCCCAACACCAAGACGCACACTTACGAGCCGTATCCCTCGGGATCCGACGTGCCCTTTGGGCCTCCGCTGGACAAAGAGATTTTGCACCAGGTAATCAGGTTATTTTCATAGAAATCAATTCCAGGGGACCCCTTTGACACAGTTCCTTATTTACGTTTCGTGCTCAGGGCTTAGGCCTGACTCGGGGCTCAGGCATCCCTCCTGGCAGTGCTCTGACAACCAAATGGGTGCCAGAGATTGAAGCAGAGCAACCATGTGCAGTAAAGTGCTCTGCCTGTTGTAGCATCACTCCGGCCCACCTAAGAAGGCGTTCCCCCAACAGACTCCAAACCCCCCACAGAGCAGAAGAATCTGACAGAAGTCATCATGTGTTTCTGGGTTTACGGTTTTTCCATCTTCCAGGTGCTTGAGCTGCAGACAGCCATTGAAAACATTACTGCCACCTACAACAACAAGACGGTGACGCTTCAGGATATCTGCCTGACCCCTCTCTCCCCGTATAACCGGAACTGCACCATCCTGAGCGTGCTGAACTACTTCCAGAACAGTCATGCCATGCTGGACCGCAAGATAGAGGATGACTTCTACGTGTACGCCGACTATCACACGCACTTCCTGTACTGTGTCCGGTACGTGGCGGGGCTGGCGCTCGGGCGCTTGCCGACCCCAGGATTGTCCGCGGGGGGACCCTGCTCGGGAAGCCCATGTCCTGGTGACAGAGGGGGTCAGACGTGAGAGCCGTGGGCATGAGTGCCCTGGTGCCCTGGAGGAAGTGAAGCCGGATGAGGAAGCACCACTGCCCATGGAGGGGTGACCTGCTCCCAGGGAGGGGTGCAGAGGGAGCCTCTGGGAGCCCAGGGGAAGGTGTTCCAGGCACAGGGCAGGAACCAGGGAACAACTTTCACTCCTCCCTGAGTTGAGAATGCAGCCTCCGGCCTGCCGCCCACTGTGTCTCCATGTGCAGCAGAAGAGTCACAGAAGCCTCTAGAGCTTTCTCTGGTCCTGCAGAGGCAAATGTGAACCGGATATGAGTCGTTAATCAGCTATTCCATGTTCCACTGAAGAGTGGGAGGGGGGGTTCAGGTCAGCTTGGCCACAGGCCACTGAAGCTGCACCCTGCGGGACACGTGTGTCATTGGGATGTGTCAGAGAAGCTGAGCTGGGAAGTGGCCTGTCGGCTTGTCCCCATAGCAGAAGGCCTGTCCTTAAGTCCCCGAGCCGCCTGCTCCGGCAAGGCCAGCTGAGGGAAGGTAGTTGACGTCCGGCCTGGTGGACTGTGGCCATTTCTTCCCCAATGAGCAGCCACCTCTGGGCATGCGGCCTAGTTGGCCACGTCTCAGGAGGCCAGGATCTGCCCATCTGGATTCGTGACCCTCAGTTCTGCCTGTTTTAGTTGCTGAGCTATCCCTTAGGTCAGGCTGTGTTTATTTTAGGCACTTTATGGGCACTTTACAAATGTAAAAAGTAGACAGGCACAGATCCCCCAAATATGTATTGTCCAGGCAGCAGGGGCACCACGCCATACAGACCAGTTTGGAATCTATCAGATACTTAGAAATACGGGCTGGGGGGGACAGTCCAGATGGTAAAGCCACCTGCCTTGCATGAGGCTGCCGTGGATGTGAATCGGGCATCCACATGTGGTCTCCCAAGCCCCGCCAGGAGTGATCCCTGAGCACAGAGCCAGGAGTAAGCCCTGGAGCACTGCAGGCTGGGGCCCAAAACAGTATAAGATAAAAAAAGATTTAAACTCTATAATTTTTCTTTTTTTTGAGGGGGGCGGTCACACCCGGCGGTGCACAGGGGTTACTACTGGCTCTGCACTCAGGAATTATTCCTGGTGGTGCTCGGGGGACCAGGTGGGATGCTGGGAATCAAACTCAGCAAACGCCCTACCTGCTGTACTATTGCTCCAGGCCCTATAATTTTTCTCTTTAAGGGAAAAGTGATTTACTTTTTTTTGTTTTACACAGTAAGTCGATCCAGTGATGGTGTTGAGGGAGATGCCAGAGACTCAAGCTTTATTCTAGGAGAGCCAGGGCTCTTGGTTCAGACAGGGGCGGCCCGCGGCCATCAGTTCTCATGTGCAGGCGGTTGCACCCCCCACCCCCCGCCACCCCTCAGTCTTTCCTGGCCTCTCCCCTTCATATCTGAGCGGTGGAGCTGCAGTCAGCACATGCCCACTGGGTCCCGTACCCGTGCTGTCTGCCTCTCTCTCAGCCCTCAGGCGCTGTCCCTGCATTCTTCCTCGGCAGCAGAGGCTCGTGTACAGGGGAACCTTGTGAGGTTCTGCTTATGCGGACCCGACCCCTCAGCCCTCTCCGTGAGTGCCGGCAGAGCTGTAGCTAATGTCTCTCCCGAAAGGCTGTCTCCTGCCCCCGTCGGTTGTGTGTCTCTCTGCACCATGCTCCTGGCTGTCCCTGGCCGGGCCCTCCTCACTTCCCTTTCATCCCCACTTCGCACCTTCTTTGTCCCTGTCCCTAGTGTCTGCAAGGATGCACATCCAAACGACTTAGCAGAGCCCTGGACCCTTCTCTTCTCCACTCCCCCAGCTGCCCTTGGAGCTCTGGAAACAGGCTGCTCATTCTGCAAACCTCCAAACCCTCCTCCTGCTCTCCTCCCTCGCCTCTTTCCACTTGCTCTCCCCAGGCCTTTGCCCGGAGCACCCTCATTTCCCTCATCCCAGGCACCTTCTGCCTCGCTCAGGAGCCTGGTTCTGTGCAGGTCGGACACATTCTCCTGCACGTCCCGCCTCTGAGCTCCCCAGCCGAGGGCCGGACAATGGTTCGCCCGGGGGAACCCGAGGGCGCCCACGTTGTGCTTCAAACAGAGCTTCGTGCCTGCTGCTGTCCGAGGAGGCGTCTTCTGACCGGGTGTTTTCTGAACTTGGCAGGGCTCCTGCCTCTCTGAACGACACGAGTGTGCTCCACGATCCTTGTCTGGGGACGTTCGGCGGGCCGGTGTTCCCCTGGCTTGTCCTGGGAGGCTACGATGGTGAGTGGAGGGGTTTGCACGGGCTGTTGGTGCTTCAATCTCACTTCTGTTGTTAGCAGCCGCGTGCGGGGTCATAGCAAAAAGTTCATGAGTGGTGTGGTGCCCTGGCGCCCAAACACCATGTCCGGTGTTGCTGGGTTTGATTCTGAGTTTCTGAGGAAGTGGGCGGTGTCGGCCTTTTCTGGTCATGCTCTGGGAAACTGTGGACCGCTAACGACTTGGCCACAGAAAAGCACCTGCCGTTGGGTCATCCACTTGCACCGTTCAGTTTCAGGGCATGGAGAAAGCCTTGGAGCCCTTTGCAGAACCCCCACTAGCGCGGGGTCCTCAGAGTCTGTCATGGAGAAGAGAGTGTCTGTGAGCTAGGGGAGGAAAGAAACCAAATAGGTGGCTTTCTTCTCCGGGAGCCAAAGAGTCAGAACTCAGTCACCTTCACGCCCCTCTGGGCTCACCTGGGTCCCAGCCCTGAGCCGCTTCCACCTTGGGCTGGCCTCTGCCCTTCTGGACTACAATGAATTCCCTCTCGCCACCCTCCCCTCTCTCTCTCCAGAGAATCCCACATTCTCCTTAGCATTAGTATATTCCCTCTTAAAGCAGTTTTGCTTTGCACATAGGAACACTGAGGCAGAGTGGAGTTATCCCCACCCTAAGGACTGGGTGGCATGAGTGGCATCCAGCATTGTGGCATGAGTCCTAATTAATATGGCTTGAATCAGGATCCACAGGAAGCCTAGTTAGGGGCAGTTCAACAGGTTTTTCTCCACCCCAGTGAAGAGGCCAAATGGATGTCCCTCCTCAGGGAAAGGGGAAGTCAGTTGTGATCTGTGTTTAAATTATTCCCTGCCTCCTGCCATAAAATGCCATGTGTAATTTGTGGGGGAAGGGTGATGTAACTAGTAAGGTAACACAGCCATCAAAATTGGCTGCTAACCTTATTCTTCAGCCTAAATTCCAGATGAGTATAAAGATGAAATTAAAGAAGTGGAGCTATCAAAGAACTAGAAGAAAGTGCAAGAGGATGTTGGAAAAGCTGAATTTTAAGTAGAGAAGACCTTTCTAAGCAAAACCCAAAAGCAACAAAAGAAAACAATAGTGAATTTCACTTTTTGCAGGGGTGTATTCAGCAAATTGAAGGGACATTCAGTAGCTGAGGGGGGAAAAGCTAGCACACAAAAGACAGCATTTCTTTAATGTGTAAAGAGCCTTGGGGGGGAAAAGGACAAACACCCCAAAGGAGACTGAAGTCATGTCACAGTTGACTGAGTTTCTGTGACTTACTCATGTTGGGGAAATGGTTATTCTTAACCCTAATTAGTGAAATGCATCTCACCTCAATCTTTCTATTAAGCAGATTAGTGAAGCTCTAAGGGTTTAATGAAACCACACAGCACGGGTGAAAACATGGAGACTCCAGCTACTAATGTAGTATTACTGAGTCACAAAAACGTAAGCTGCAAAAGACAGGAGGTCTTCTCTTATGGCCATCCATGCATCCATAATACCGGAATAATGGCTGGCACAAAACTCAACCTCAAGAAATACTTGATTGAGCGAAGGAATGAAAATAGCATAGTTCTCCTAGGAGGGCAGTTCAGAAGAACACATCAAAATTAGAAATGTGCTTCTTCAGTGATTATGCTATAAGGAATTCTGCACATGTGTATTTTTCACATTAAAAATGGCAGGTTCAATTCAATCAGCTAATCAGTGGCTGAATAAATAGCAGTACTCCTACATTAAAAAATAAATAAATAAATAAATAAAAATGGCAGGTTGGGGGTTGGAGCAATAGCACAGTGGGTAGGGTGTTTGCCTTGCACACGGCTGACCCAGGTTTCATTCCCAGTATCCCATATGGTCCCCTGAGCACTGCCAGGAGTAATTTCTGAGTGCATGAGCCAGGAGTAACCCCTGTGCACCGCCGGGTGTGACCCAGAAATTTAAAAAAAAAATGGCAGGTTGATATTTTGTAGTAATTTTGCTTATAATTAAAAGGTTGCAAAAATAGCCACCTAGAGATTGGTTCATTTGTACCGGAAAATATATGGGAGGAAAAAAGTAGGAAGTTTGTGCATAAATGGATCCATCTCCATATCTGCATCTAAAAACACAGTGCGGCAAAGTGTGTTATTCTTCATCTAATGAGAGTAGGGGACTTCATCTGCTGTTGTGTGCTTGGATGTGTCCACATACCTGGTCACAGGATGGGGAGAGCTAAGAATAGAACAGAGGCCGAGGAAGGGGAGAGATGTTCACTGACACTTACCCTGCAACTGCTCTTGGTAAAGGCGACTGGCCTTTCTCTCTGAATGAAAACTCTGCCTGTCTTCGTGGAGAATGCTTTTTATTCAGGCACCCGACTGCATGGGCACAGTTTCAATGGCCTCTCTTGTTCTCAGAGCCCAGGATAATTGTCCCCTGTGAGAAATCAGGCACCTTCTGTATTTGTAATTTCCTCCTGCCTAACTTTCACACGCTTGTAATTTTATTTTTCATGTCTGATTTGTTTTTTAGATCAAAACTACAATAATGCTACAGCCCTTGTGATGACCTTTCCTGTCAATAATTACTATAATGATACAGAGAAGCTCCGGAGAACTGAGGCCTGGGAAAGAGAGTGAGTCATTCATGGGCTCAGAACCACCTGCCATACTTCCTAGGAAGTTAGGTGCCGGCAGACAGCGCATAAACCTTCAGAACTGACAAGCACCACATCTAAATTGTGTTAGTTTTCCTACCTGAAGTTAGTGGTCTAGAGGGAAAAAGAAGAAAAACCATAAATAATTTTAATCTATGGGCATTACTTGAACAGATATGCCTGCATGAAAATATAAAAATGTATATAAGAACATGTGTTTTTTTTTTGAGCATTTTTTAACAGCAAACTTGGGGAGCAGGCTGAATGTAAGGGGTTATTTCGGCAAAACTTATATAGCCTCTAAAGATAGGTCAAGTATCAAGACATGGAAACCAGCCAGGACCACCGTCTTCCTGTCTGTCATCAAAAGTGTTAGAGGAGGGGTCCCAGCTATGAATATTCTCCAGATCTTTTAGAAAACAGGAGTTACGTCTTTGGCTGCCTATGTTTGTATCTAGATTATGTTCCCTGTCCTAAGTAGTGAAGGGAAGTGTTCATGAAAAGAAGAAAGGGGGGCTGGAGCCATAGAACTGCAACAGGAGCTTGCTTTACATGCAACCGACCCGGGTTTGTTCCCTGGCACCCACGAAGGTCCCACAGCAGCACCAGGAGTATTTCCTTAGTACAGAGTCAGGAGTAACCCCTGAGCATCAGCAGGTGTGACCGAAAACAAAAAGAGAAGGGAGCAACGAAGAGAGCACTTGGGTCCAGCAGAGGTGCTGGCTCCCGGACTCGAGCAGCACACTGTGAGCTATGGGCGCAGCCTGAGCTGCCTGCGGGCCCCTTCCCCCAGGGATTCCCCCAGGGATTCCTGGCACAATAGGGCTTTTCACAAGAGCTCTCTGGACTGAAGCAAACGACACCCACCGGGGTCAGCATGTTTGGGTAGATGCCTGGCTCATCTCGCGCCTCTGGAAAAGAAGCAGCAAATCCCCTGGGAAATGGCTATTCTAGAGTGAGTCGCTGTAGCTAAAGAGAGGAGAGAACCCAAGAGACCGGGGGTCTCTTTCATGCTCCTTTTTTAGGATAGACTCTGAATCCGTTCACCCATTTGAAATGGACAGTTCAGGAGCTTTGAGACTATTCACAGATGTGCAACCTTCGCCCCGGCCAGTCCTGTGTCCTGTCCTGTGTCCTCCCTTTGTTCATGGATTTGCTCAAGTGGTCCCAGTAACATCTCCATTGGAGACTTTGTTGTTACTGTGTTTGTTGTTACTTTGTTCTTACTGTGCATATCGAATATGTCATGGGGAGCTTGCCAGGCTCTGCCATGCGGGCGAGATACTCTCGGTAGCTTGCCGGGCTCTCCGAGAGGGGTGGCGGAATCGAACTGGGGTCGGCCATGTTGTCCGCTTGTAAGGCAAACACCCTACCCACTGTGTTATCGCCCCGGCCCGTATTAAAACATTTTCTTTCCCTCAGAAGCAGCCCGTGTCCTTTAGCTGTCTCCCCACCTGGCTCTTGGCCTTCCTCCCACACCCCCACACAGTCCCACCCTCTCTGCCTTTTGCTTCCTCTTCTGGGCTGCTTCAGGAAAGGCTTCATCTTCATCTGCGGCCTTGGTGTCTGGCCTCTCTCACGGGGCGAATCCTTCAGAGTTCCTGAGTAAGAGTGTATTAGCACTTTTTTTCCCTAGAAGCTTACTAATACTTCCTGTTTTCAGTTATGCCACATTATGTTTGCTTATTGGTTGATGCACATTAGGGTTGTTTCTGTGTTTGGTTTATTCTCAATAACCCAACTCTAAACTTTCATATGCAGATGTTTGTGTGAACGTGTGTTTTCACTTCTTGTGGGCACACACCTGGGATAGATTTGCCGAGTCAAGGTGGTAAGCTGTTTGAGGAACTGCCAGGCTTTTTTTTTCCAGTTGCTGCCCCATTTTACATTCCTTCCAGCAATGTCAGAGGGCTTTAAAATTCTCCACATCTTCACCCTCACTTGTTATCCTTTCATTCTAGCGAGAGTATAAAGTGTTATTTTAGTTTTGATTTGCATTTCCTTGATAACATTTTACGTATCTTTTTCACCTTTTTGGTCATCTGTATAATGTCTTTGGAGCAGCGCCTTTTCATGTCAGTTGCCCATTTTTATCCATTATTTGTATTTTTATTATTGAATTACTTACATTCTTAATGTTCATATTCATGTAATTCAATAATTTAAAAAATATGACAGGGCTGTGATAGTACGGTGGTTAGAGAGCTTGCCTTGCATGCAGACAACCTGGTTCCGATCTCTGTCATATGGTCCCTTGAGCCTGCCAGGAGTGATTCCTGCATGTAGAATCAGGAGTAAGCCCTGAGCACTGCTGGGTGTGACACGCCCCCCACACGCACCCCCCCCCCCAAAAAAAAAGACATTTGCCAGTGTTTTTATTTCTTCCATTTTGAGTTTTTTGTATGTTGTGGAGTTTTGGTGTTTTCCCCTTCTTTTTCGATGTATCCTTTAAACATAAAAAATTCAAAGTTGGTTAAAAATAATTTATTGATATTCTTTTTTGATACATATTTTTATATTATAGTTGAGAAATTGCCTAATCCAGTAACAGAGCTCTTCTACTTATATGGTAGTTTGAAAAAATTTAGTTTTTGCTTTTATATATGTCTTTGATCCACTGAGTTAATTTTTTATTGTTCCTGTTTTTGTTTTGGAGCCACACCCCGCGGTGATGGGCTGGAGGATCCTAGGTGGTGCCAGGGATTGAGCCCAGGTTGGCCGCATACAGGACAAACACACTGTTTGCTGCACTGTTGCTCCGTCACCTTGAGCTAATTTTTTTTTTGGGGGGGGGGGTTTGGTTTTGGTTTTTGGTGTACTAGGATGACTCTCAGCTCTGTGCCCAGGGCTCACTCCCAGTGGTGCTCAGGGAGACCATGCAGTGCCAGGGATTAGGCCTGGAGATCCCGCCTGCACGGCTTGTGCTGCAGCCCTTGGGCATCTCCCCTAAAGTTCCCCCACTGCTGCTGCTGTAATAGCTAGGGCTCAGAGAGCAGGTTTCAACGCTTGCATACATAGTCATGATGTTCACAGGGGTACCGCACGTTGCAGCTATGTGACTTGCAAAGGGTCACCCCTCTGGAAGTGGTGCCCACACACTTGGTTTTGGTGCCAGGGTCCCTAACCTGCAGAGCCATCAGGACTGCACAATGCATATGGACCCTCTGCGTTCATATTTTATATGATGTGAAATATGGACCCAAATTCTTTTTGTTTGTTTTCACAAGCAACTATTCACTTGTCCCAGACAGTTTGTTGAAAAGACTCCCATTTGATAGTTTTGCCACCCTCGTTAAAAATTAGGTGACTGCAGAAACATTTCTGGATAGAAAGATTTCTTTATTCTTTTCATGTATATGTGCAGGGTCCACACAGTCTCGATTTTCCGTTATTTCATCGTAACTAATTCTGATATCAGGAAGTGTGAATTCTCCTGCTTGGCTTCTCTTGCAAAGGAAGGTTTTGCCTGTTACCTGCAGTCCCACAGAATCCTCTTTCGACAGAGACATCATCTTGGGCTCTCTTAGGGATCACATTTGAGTCTATAGATGAATCTGACATGTAGGCTTCATTTAGGAATTATAGGAGTCACAGAAGGTGAGGGGAACCTCATGGCTTGTTTGTCAACGGTGTCAACTCAAAACACAAAATCTTGCCTGTCTGCTCTTCAGGTTCATTAATTTTGTGAGAAACTACAAGCATCCGAACCTGACCATTTCTTTCACTGCTGAACGGAGCATTGAAGATGAGCTCAATCGCGAGAGCCAAAGCGACGTCTACACCGTGGTGATCAGCTACGCCATCATGTTTTTGTACATCTCCATAGCACTGGGCCACATCAAGAGCTGCAGGCGGCTGCTGGTGAGCATCTGCTGGTGTTTTTGCCGCCTTTTAATCTTTTTCCAGTATGTCCAAGCTGACTTAAATGTCTGTTTTATTTTTTTTTAATTATTTTTGCGTTTGCCTTGCGCGCAGCCAGCCTGGCCAACCCGGGTTCGATTCCTCCACCCCTCTCGGAGAGCCCGGCAATCTACCGAGAGTATCTCACCTGCACGACAAAGCCTGGCAAGCTATCCATGATGTATTCAATATGCCAAACACAGTAACAACAAGTCTCAAAATGGAGACGTTACTGGGCCCGCTCGAGCAATTCAATGAACAACGGGAGGACAGTGTTTGTCTATTTTATTTTTATTTTATTTTTTTTAATGAGTCACTGTGAGATAGTTACTAATTTACAAACTTTCGTGATTACATTTCAGTCATACAATGATTGAGTACCCATTCCTCCACCAGTGCCCATTCTCCACCAACAATGTTCCCAGTATCCCTCCCACCACCTCCACCCCCCACCCCACCCCCGCCTCTGTGACAGGGCATTCCTTTTTACTCCTTTTACTCTCTGTCTCCTTTTGGATGTTATGGTTCGCAGTATGGGTACTAAGTGGCCATCATGTTTGGTCCATAGTCTACTTTCAGCACACATCTCCCATCCTGAGCGAGTCCTTCAAGTAAATGTCTATTTTAATTGTATGTATTTTTTTTCTGAAGTTTTGGTTCTTTCCCGACTAAAAGGTTATCTAATTTTTATCTTACATTATCCTGGTCTTTCTTTTTTTTTTTTTCTTCCTCTTTTGAGTCACACCCAGCAATGCTCAGGGGTTACTCCTGGCTGTGCATTGAGGAATCACGCCTAGTGGTGCCTGGGGAGCTGACCATATGGATGCTGGGGATCAAACCCGGGTCAGCTGTGTGCAAGGCAAATGCCCTACCTGCTGTACTATTGCTCCAGCCTCGTATCCTGGTCTTTTCTAACTAGTATATCTTGCCACAGAGAGTGTGAACTCGTGAGATTCACGATCACGACCATCCTGTTATTCGTCGATTGCCTCGAGCAGGCCCCAGTAACGTCTCCTTCGTCCTAGCCCTGAGATTTTTTTAAAACCGCCATATTCAAGGCTCTTTCAGAGTTAGGAGAATGAGACCCATCATTGTTACTGGTCTTTGGCATATTGGGTACGCCACAGGGAGTTTGCCAGACTCTGCCATGTGGGCAGGTTACATTCGGTAGCCTGCAAGTTTGTCCAAAGTAGGAATAAGATAATAAAATGTCATAATAAGATGGCCACGCGCTTCCGGGAGCTGGGTTTTGTAGTCTCTGAGTCTTGGCCGTTGATGGGATTACACGGCGCCAGGGGGCCAGGTGGTGGGTGTGACCCCCGCCTACTGGAATTTGGAGGATCTGGGTGGAGGATGCTCAGCCCCGATCCGAGTAGGCTTGGAGATCTCAGTCCTGGGACCCACATGCCTTTGTTCCTCTGCCGGTACCTTCATGTGTGCGGAGAGTAGTCTCAGCATGGTGGTGGCTGGTTCTGGAGGTCTTCAGCTGCGGGAGCCCTGGTTGGGGTGGGGAGGAAAACTCAACCCGCTTCCCTCCAAGGGGCCCCGGCGAGGACAGCCAGGCGCGGGGGCAGAAGACTCTGCGCTGTTCTCAGCATGAGATTCATTGCTTGGGAATATGTAGGCTTTTTTTTTTTTTTATGTCTTTTCTCAAACTGGGAATTATACTTCTAACTCTGGATTGGCCTTGCCCGTTTAACAATGTCAAAATGAGTCCCTTCTAGTGATAGGTAGGATTGAGAACACCTTAAAGTATGGTTTGCGTCTCTTCTCTCTCTAAGGTGGATTCTAAGATCTCCCTGGGCATCGCGGGCATCCTCATTGTCCTGAGCTCCGTCGCCTGCTCTCTGGGCATCTTCAGTTTCCTGGGGATCCCCCTCACCCTCATTGTGATCGAAGTGATCCCGTTTCTGGTACTGGCCGTTGGGGTGGACAACATCTTCATTCTGGTCCAGACCTACCAGGTACATTTTCATCATTCAGAGCTTGGAGCTGGCCAAGCTCCACAGAGCTCCGTGGTGGCGGGGAGTGGGAGGGCGAGGTTTCCTCCTCTGCTATTTTTGGTGCCACTGACCCAGTCCTGGGCATGGTTCAGACCTCTTTCTGGCTGGGAGGAGAGAGAGAAAGTGAGAAGTTCATTTTTGAATATGTGCAACATGTATGCAAAAAAGTAAAGGACTAATATATTTGTGAAAAATATTTTTAAGCCCAGTTGTTAAAATAATTCTTATCATAGTGTAAAAATTGAAAGATTTATCAGTGGTGCCACCACAAGGTTATCTGATGTAGAGAACACTCGGTTCTCACAAGAATCTCAGACCCTCATCCTTAACTTTGTGGGGACTCAGTGACGGAAAGGATCGTTTCATGTCCAGCTACCTGCAGCTCGCATGTTCTGTGTTTTCCTGATAATAGGGTTCAGTCTTTCCTTGAACTTCTCACCTTGTGTGTGTTACGCTCCGGAATTCAGAAATAATCTGAATCAGGAGGGTTTGGGTCCCCTACCAAGTTTATATACAATAACTGGAAGCTACAAATAATTTTTCTTTACTATTGACTTAACACTAGGTAGCAGAGAAACAGAATAATGATATTGGTATTGAGAGTTTTTAAATATTGCTGTTTTTTTTTTTCAAGAGAGACGAACGCCTTCAAGGAGAAAGTCTGGACCAGCAGCTGGGCAGGGTCCTGGGAGAGGTGGCCCCCAGCATGTTCCTGTCTTCCTTCTCAGAGACGGTCGCCTTTTTCTTAGGTAATTGATTCTATGGGTTCTGTGGGTCTCGCAGTTTGTTGAGACTGGGAATCAGGCCAGGGTGTTGGGATATGCTTCTCAGTGTCCTGTGACAAAAGTCTTCCTCCTCAGTCTCTCAGGACAGTGAGGAAGCTAGGCTCTAGGTCACTAGGACTCCTGGGCCTGGCTTTGGCTCCTGTGTGGAGATATTAAAAGAGTGTCCTGCAGGGCCTGGAGGGATCATACAGTGGGTGAGGTATTTGCCTTGCATGCAGCCAGGTTTGATCCCCAGCACCCCAAATGGTTCCTTCCCTGAGCACCACCAGAAATGACTCCTGAGTGCAGAGCCAGGAATAACGTTACCCCTGAGCATTTCCAGGTGTAGCCCAAAAACCACACACAAAAATAAGTAAATAAATAAACCAGTGTCCTACAGAGTCAGTCTGACTAACAGAGCTCCGGTCACTCACTCCCTGGCTGTGTCCACGTCATTCTCCTCGCACCTTACTGGGCAGCGGTCCTGCCCCAACACCGAAGCTGGGCACCAGGTGTCCCTTTCCTGAGTGGCAGGACACTGCTCCCCACACCACCTGCAGAGGTTATCCCGATGCAGGTGCCCACAGATGGCCCCTGTCGTAGCCAAGGGCGCAGGTTCTCAGCGCACACAGTCGCCAGGTTGTGCCATGGAAGCCCCGTGTCCCTAGGGCTCCTCCACAGATGCAGGTGCAGGATCGCACTTGCCTCCTTCCCCTCCAAACAGGATGATGATAGTGGCAACTGCAGCTGTACCTTGAGGACGGGTCACTTGGGGGATGGGCAGTGTGGGTGGGGGACTGTGACCAGAGGAGTGGGAAGGTCCATCTTCAGAGGTGCCCGCCCTGTGCTGCCAGGTCCAGTTTTTCCTCATATAACGCCGTGAATCTCATTGTTAAGTGTCTGTCCTTGGTCCTTACTATTTTTTAATCATATTTGTTTTTTTTAAATCCCCAAATAGGCTGGCATAATGTGGGCAAACTGGTACTGCTGACCACAGGCCCAGCTCTCGGCATTTGAGACAGCCTTGTGTTTTCACTGGCAGTCCCTCAGCGGGGAGAGGGGAGCTCTGGGGACGGTGGCATGTGAAGTTTCTGCCCCTCTCCAAGTAAAGTATGCCCGCTTCTTTTTTTTTTTTTAATTTTTTTTATTAGTGAAACACCATGAGGTACAGTTGTATATTTACAATTTTTTGTGCTTGGGTTTGATTATACAATGATCAGATACCCATCCCTCCACCAGTGCCCATTTTCCACCACCATGGATAATATCCCCCCCACCCCCATCCCCCCATCCCCCCCTGCCTCTGTGGCAGGGCAATCCCCTGTGTTCTCTCTCTCCTTTTGGGTGTTGTGGTCTGCAAAAGAGGCATTGAGTGGCAAACATGTTCAGCCCATAGTCCACTTTCGACATACATCTCCCCTCCTGGGAGGATCCTCCAAACACCCTTTATTTGGTGTTCCCTTCTCTGTCTGAGCTGCCCTTTCCTCTAGAATGCCCGACTGGCCACTAAGCTATGGAGTAATCCTCCTGGTGCTGATCTCAGCTATTCTTGGGTATTAATCTCATATTTTGTTACTTTATATCCCCCAGATGAATGCAATCTTTCTATGTCTATCCCTCTCTTTCTGACTCATTTCGCTTAGCATGATACTTTCCATGTTGTACCACTTGTATGTAAATTTCATGACTTCATCTTTTCTAAGAGCTACATAGTACTCCATTGTATAGATGTACCAAAATTTCTTTAACCAGTCATCTGTTCGTGGGCATTCAGGTTTCTTCCAGTTTCTGGCTATTGTAAAGAGTGCTGCAATGAACAAACAAGTGCAGATGTCACTTCGACTATACATTTTTGCCTCTCTGGGATATATTCCCAGGAGTGGTATTGCTGGGTCAAATGGGAGCTCAATTTCTAATTTTTTGAGAATCGTCCATACTGTTTTCCAGAAGGGCTGAACCAGTGGACATTCCCACCAACAGTGAAGGAGTGTCCCTTTCTCGCCACATCCGCGCCAGCATCGGTTGCTTTTGTTCTTTTGAATGTGGGCCAGTCTCTGAGGTGTGAGATGGTATCTCATTGTGGTTTTGATCTGCATCTCCCTGATGATTAATGATGTAGAGCATTTTCTCATGTGCTTTTTTGCCATTCAGATTTCTTCTTTGAGAAAGTTTCTGTTCATTTCATTGCCCCATTTTTGGATGGGGTTGGATGTTTTCTTCTTGTGGAGTTTAACCAGTATTTTGTATATCCTGGATATCAACCCCTTGTCAGATGTGTATTCGGCGAATATCCTTTCCCATTCTGTAGACTGTCTTTGTATTTTGGTCACTGTTTCTTTGGAGGTGCAGAAGCTTCTAAGTTTAAGATAGTCCCATTTATCTATCTCTGTTTTCACTTGCTCAGACAGTGGCGTGGCATCTTTGAAGATACCATTAGCTTCAATGTCATGGAGGGTTTTGCCAACTTTGTCTTCAATGTACCTTATGGTTTCTGGTCTGATGTTGAGGTCTTTAATCCATTTTGATCTCACTTTTGTACACGGTGTTAGGCAGAGTTCTGAGCCCATTTTTTTGCATGTAGCCATCCAGTGATGCCAGCACAATTTGTTAAAGAGGCTTTCCTTACTCCACTTCACAGTACTTGCACCTTTATCAAAGATTAGATGATCATATGATTGAGGGGAGATGTCAGTGTATTCAACCCTGTTCCATTGGTCTGCAGTTCTGTATGCCCGCTTCTAAGATGGGACCCACAGGAGCCAGGGAGATGACTCCAGGGCCTAGCATGCAGTCCCTGCCTGCAGGAGGCCGGGGCTCAGTCCCCAGCATCACCGGGAGTGGCCTGAAAAACTAGAACAAAAGAAATGACCAGTAAAATAAAAAAAAGAAAAGAAATGACCGGTTCTAAAGGACCTCAGGTTTATGCATGCGTTCATGTGACCGCTGAGCCTGTCGAGTGCCGTGCAGTGGCGTGGGCTCGCCCACAGTCTGGGTTGAGCAGGATGGGGTTGGAGCCACGAAGGAGCAGAACTTTGGGAAACACCCAGGAGTGGCGTGACACCCATCTGCAGGGTCCGCTCTGGGTGTGGCATGTACACAGCTTCCTCTCCTCGCAGGGGCCCTGTCGGTGATGCCGGCCGTGCACACCTTCTCGCTGTTCGCCGGCATGGCGGTCTTCATCGACTTCCTCCTGCAGATCAGCTGCTTCGTGAGTCTCCTGGGCTTAGACATTAAGCGTCAGGAGGTGAGTGGCCCTCAGGATTCAGGGGGTTTTTCTTGGTTCGAGCCCAACATCTCGCCAGAGGGTGTGCGGGAGGGTGTGACCATGGTCCCTCTTCCTGTCTGCGCAGAAAGGCCGCCTGGACATCCTCTGCTGCACCAGCATTGCCGATGACGACGGCACAAGCGTGCAGGCCTCGGAGAGCTTCTTGTTTCGGTTCTTCAGAAAGTCCTATGCCCCGTTTCTGCTCAAGGACTGGATGCGGCCCATTGTGGTAGGCGCGTCTCCTTGCTCATTTCCAGGCTCTCGGGTCTCCACGCCGCAGGTCTTGGAGCTCGGACAGCTCCTGGGAAGCGGGCTCTGAAGGCTGTCTGCTAGCAGCTCAAAAACACGAAGGCGGACATGTCCCAATATACGGACCTTTCCTAGCTAGGGATTGTTTTGTTCTTATTTCCCTGTGGGTTGTCTGTTTGGTGGGGGCGGGGGCACCCCCCGCAGTGCTCCAGGCTTACTCCTGGCTCTGTGCTCAGGGATCACTCCTGACAGTGCTTTGGGAGCTCTAGGGGGTACCGGGGATCAAATCTGGGTTTGATCAGCTGCAGGTAAGGCCAGTACCTTGCCCAGTGTACTTTTGTTCTGGTCCCTCGCACTGTGGTTTTGTTGCCTTCTGGGGGGCATCCAAGCAGCGCTCAGGAGGCCCAAGGGCCCAACCACTGATTCTTGACCATTGGAGCCAGCAATTGAGTGCCTGGGTCTGAAAGGGCACAGTGGGGGGCTAGCTGGGTCTCCTGGCGGTGCTGGGGTCCTCTAGGGTCACGGCACTCAGTGCCTGTGGGGGGTTATGTGGTGGTGGGGGGCACATGCCACATGCCAAGCTGCCCTGCCTCCAGCCCCTCTCGCTAGTTCTTAGCATCAGTGTAAGGATTTTCTGCTGCCAGTTTTTATTTTGAAATAATTTAGCATATGGGAAGCTATAAAGATATGCTTTGCCCCACTTCCTCCTGAGTCGTACTTGACTGAGGCCACCAATCAAAATCAAGAGTCTGACACGGGCACAGTTCAGGTGTCTGAGTCACTGACTCCACTGTCAGCTCCCATGACAGCCACCGCAGATGGTTTTAGAACTACCACCTCCTCATCACACCCCTTGTAGCCGGCCGCTGCCTTCCCCAGGCAAGGACTTCTTATAACTCACACTCTATGAGTTATTAAGTGTGCATTATGTTATAATAAGTTATAATATATTTGTACTTACTAATATACTTATAATAAGTTTTAAGTATGTAACCATGTCACTTCCCTATGAAGAACAGAAATCATTTTCCAATAGTACCTAAAAACCCTCATTTGCTGGTAATGACTATACCACTGGGTATTGTATTAGCTGTTGGGTTCTGTGCTAAAACCTGAACCATCCCTAGAGTCAGAAAGACAGTTCATGGATTAAGGCATTTATCTTGCAGGTAGCCAACTCCGGTTTGATCCCCAGCACCATATATTGTTCCTCGAGCCCCATGAGGAGTGCTCCATGAGCACAAAGTCAGGAGTAAGGCCTGAGCACAAACCCCAAAATAAGTCAAATCTGAATTATCCCTAGATTCTTCTCCTTAAGTCCACAAGACTATTTGATGTTAGCAGTCTTTATTTTTCCTGTTTGGGGGATATAGAAATAAACATTAAAGGTTGTTAAATGACTTCCTCAGAGTCACTCAGCTTCCGAAGTGCCGTTTGGATTGGGGTACCTTGACTCTTGGTGGAGTTGTCACCGCACACTCCCTGTTTCCTTGGTGCATCATTTAAACCCGGTTTTCAGTTTAGCCAAGCACCCATTCCTGTGCCTTTGAAGTGCTGTGTTCTTAAGCCCCCTGGAGAGAACTTTTGGCGTTCACTGTGCCCAATGCACCCTCTGTTCCAGATCGCGGTGTTTGTGGGCATTCTGTCCTTCAGCGTCGCCGTCCTGAACAAAGTAGAGATCGGACTGGACCAGGCGCTCTCCATGCCAGATGTAAGTGGCTTTCTTCTCTCCTTCTGTGTCTGTGGCCAGGGGTGAGTCAGTGTTTCTGAGTGTGCCTGTGTCTATGTGTGTGGATCTGGTGCCGCCTTGCACACACAAGTGCTGAGAATTGCCACCAGGCACTGCCCCGTGGGCTAAGGCGGTTTGAGACCCAGCTGTAGAATGCAGAGCCCTCTCTCCCTGGATGGGTGCAGCTCTGCTCCTGGTAGAACCTGCCAGAGGAGCACGAGGGTGGGGGGGGGGGGGGGGCGGGGAAGGGGAGAGGGCTGTGGGGAGGCTGTAGCAGGGAGAGTGGGACTCGCTGGTCTGAGAATCCCAGAGTTGGGCTGGAACCTCCCCGCACCCCAGTGTATGCAGTCCAGCCTGTGGTTGGCTCTTGCAGGACTCCTACGTGGTGGATTACTTCAAGTCGCTCAGTCAGTACCTGCACGCAGGCCCACCTGTCTACTTCGTCGTGCAGGAAGGGCACAACTACACCTCCCTGAAGGGGCAGAACATGGTGTGCGGGGGCATGGGCTGTGACAACGACTCCCTGGTGCAGCAGATATTCAACGCAGCACAGATGGACAACTAGTGAGTGCCCACCCGGAGCCTGTAGGCGCCCCTCAGAGGACTCGGGCCACCGGCTGTGTCTCCCTGGAAATAAGCTTACCTGAAAAATTTGCTTTCAGAATCTCTGCTGAGGGGTGGGGGGCTATCCCAGAGCCTGAGCTTGGCTCGTGGAAGTCCTGGGTTTTATGTTAACAGTGCAGCATCCCTCAGCCCCTGCCAGGAGCTGGGACAAGTCCCCCAAGCACTGCTGCGTGTGACCCCAAAACAATCAAAAAGTTTGCTGAGGGGCCAGAGCAAGTTCATCAAGCAGGGCATTTGCCTTGCATGCTGCCAACCTGGATTCGATGCCTAGCACCCCACATGGTCCCTGGAGCCCCAGTGAGAAATCCTGAGCACAGCTCCAGGAGTAAGTCTTGAGTACCTCTGGGCGTGGCCCCAAACCAGCGGCGACAGAAAGTCTGCCTGTTGGAGCTGGAGCTATAGCACAGTGGGTAGGACTTTTTGCCCTGCAAGCAGCTGACCCGGGTTCGATACCTAGCATCCCATATGGTCCCCTGAGCACTGCCAGGAGTAATTCCTGAGTGCATGAGTCAGGAGTAACTCCTGAGCATTGCCGGGTGTGACCCAAAAAGTAAAAAAAAAAAAAAAGTCTACCTAGTACAACTTGACCCAAGTAAAACCTTTGTGAGGATTAACTGTCCTACTTTGAAGGCTTTCGGTTATGAATGTGATCTGACTTTGGCTGGGGGCAGTTTGAAATGTGGAAAAAGGGGCCGAGGGGTTCACTTAGGCATAGGTCTGGCCTGGCATGCGAGAGATCCCAAGCCCCACCCCCAGCGCCCACGTGGCTCCCTGAGCACTGCCAGGTACAGCCCTGGTGGCTTCCAGCACCGCTGGGAAGGCCCCTAAAACCAAAGCAGAAGTTCTGAAGGGGAAGCTTTCAAGAAAAAGAGCTGAACCTGAAGGCTTCCTGTCCGTGCCACAAGTCACCGCATCCCCCTCCTTTCTCCAGCACCCGCATAGGCTTTGCCCCCTCGTCCTGGATCGATGATTATTTTGACTGGATTAAACCACAGTCGTCTTGCTGCCGCGTCTACAACAACACCGAGCAGTTCTGCAACGCCTCAGGTACTCACATTCTCTCCTGCATGTCTTTTCCCTTTTCTAGAGGAAGTTCGCGTCCACACGCAAAAGTCCAGCCTGGAGGTTTTTGCCCATTTGGGTTCCGTTGCTCGGATCCATCACCCTGTCACGGCCCCTCTCCTAGGTCAGCCCCTCGTCGTGTGCCTCTCTCTCTCTCAGGCCAAACCAGGCCGAGTCAGGGCCCGGTCCTCATTCGCCCCACCACCGGTTGCCTCTCTTGACTGGTCCTGGACCTAAGCCTGTTGTAGACACGCTTTTATTATCATGCAGTCCTTCATTTATCGGTATTTTTCTGTGGTTTGTAAGAATGTTGAAGTTGTCCTAGAATTCCCTTGATTAAATACAAGGAATCTAGGTAAGCTGGGGAGGTGGCTTAGTCAGCAAATAAATAAGCAACCAGCGGATGATTTAATATAAAGAAAGGAAACCCTGAGTTCTGCTTCTGCTGGGTGAAGTAATGGCGAAGACAAGAAACCAAGGGCTGGGGCAATAGTACAGCGGGTAAGGTGTTTGACTTGCATGCGGCCAACCTGGGTTCGATCCCAGGCATCCCATGTGGTTCTCCAAGCACTGCCAGGAGAGAGTCCTGAGTGCAGAGCCAGAGGAAGGCCTGGAAACCACTGGATGTGGCCCCCAAACAAAACACCAACAATAAAACAGGAAACCCAGAGGGAGGTGGGTACTCTGGTGATGGGTGTGGTGCTGGAATTATGTGTGTACTGACAGAACTGTAAATCACAGAATCTCAGGTTAAAAAGCTAAAAGCAAAACAGGAACCCTGGAGCTGCAGCCATAGCAGGGGAGGGATACTAATAGCTGATCCTGGTTTGTTTCTGGCACCCATATGTCATCACATCTGGCCCCGCAAGCACTGTCAAGGCTCACGCCTGATCACAGAACCAGGAACATGCACTGAGCACCACCACGTATTTCCCCCCAAACTCTTAAAATAAAATTTAAACATAAAAATAAAACAGGAGACCTGCTTCGGGGAAGAAAGTATGTGCAGCTTATCTGAGGCAAAGAAAATGTCCCATATTTATTTGACTGTGAGAATCACATGGATGTCAGATTCCTTTCTATGTTCTTTGCGTTTTGTGTTTCTGTTTGGGGGCCACACCCAGCTGTGCTTGGGGGTTACTCCTAGCTCTGCTGTCAGGGATCACTCCTGGCAGGGCTCGGGGGACCATAAGGGATGATATATGGGACCACAGGGATTGAATCGGGTCAGTGGCGTGCAAGGGAAGCACCCGCCCCCTGCTACTATCCTTTCCATTTCCAGGTGTAAGATTTCTTCTTCTTTTTGGTTTTTGGGTCACACCCAGAGATGCTCAGGGGTTACTCCTGGCTCTGCACTCAAGAATTATTCCTGGGGGCTGGAGCAATAGCACAGTGGGGAGGGCCTTTGCCTTGCACGCGGCCGACCCAGGTTCAATTCCCAGCATCCCATATGGTCCCCTGAGCATCGCCAGGAGTAATTCCTGAGTGCATGATCCAGGAGTAACCCCTGTGCATTGCTGGGTGTGACCCAAAAAGCAAAAAAAAAAAAAAAAAAATTACTCCTGGCAATGCTCGGGGGACCATATGGGGTGCCAGGGATCAAACCCGGGTTGGCCGCATGCAAGGCAACCTCCCTACCTGCTCTGCTATCGCTCCAGCCCCCAGACATAGATGTCTCACAAGGAAATAACGCCCCTTGTTTCTCCGTCAGCATTTCTAAATGTTGAAAGCTAAAACGTGCACAGGAAAGCTAAAACTTCTCACCGCCCCCCTGTCTCTCAGTGGTGGACCCGGCCTGCCTGCGCTGCAGACCTCTGACCCAGGAGGGCAAGCAGAGACCCCAGGGAGGAGACTTCATGAGGTTCCTGCCCATGTTCCTTTCCGACAACCCCAACCCCAAGTGCGGCAAAGGGTAGGTGCCTCGGTGCCCGCGGTCGGGGGAGGGGGCGCCCCTGCGATCCCTCTGGGCAACCACAGTGGTCTGAGCCTGGGCTTCTTGCCCTTCCCTTTCTGTGCGCTCCCTCACTGGCTCTTAAAGGAATCGGGAAGCCCCTGGTGGGTCTGGGCATGAGGGGCAGGTGGGTCTGGGCATCACCTGTCTATGAGCCCCAGCCTGCCTGTCTCAGAGCTCACGGGCCTCTCAGCCCTGCTGGACAGCCCACCCATTGCTGTGACCACCCTCAGTGTGGCCTCCCTGCAGGCAGTGACCTCCAGCCTGTGCCTGCCAGCACCCGTCTCTGACACCTTAGGAGATGGGAGATGACCCACAGAGCCGGCTTCTAGAAATCATCGTACCACAACCAGAGACTGTGGGAGGGAGGCAGAGTGGGAGGCCCTCGTTGTTCCCAGTCAGGGTGCCTTTCTTATCATTGGTTTTTATGCACATAAACACGCTCTGGGGAGAGTGAGGGGTCAAGCATTGGTCTTGTGTGTGAGGCCCACACTTGACCCCTGAGCCACGTCCCTAGCCCCGATCAACTCAGGTTTCCCTCTGGGTCTCACCTGAGTCGAGGCTTAAACAGTTTGACCCTTGACTGACCCTTGAGGATTCAGATTCTAAATGCTTTTGGAAGACATGGTCCTTCTGGGACCGGGGAGACGGCCCGGAGGACTGGACTGCACCTCCCCGCCTAGGACACGCCCTTGCTCTGACACCCGTGGGTCTTCCCCCCAGGGGCCACGCGGCTTATGGTTCGGCAGTGAACATCCTTGGCAACGACACCAGCGTTGGAGCCACCTACTTCATGACGTACCACACAGTTCTCCAGACCTCTGCTGACTTCATTGATGCCATGACCAAGGCCCGCCTCATCGCTGCTAACATCACCAGGACCATGGGCCTGGAAGAGAGTCATTACCGTGTGTTCCCGTACAGGTGGGCAGAAATGAAAGGGCATGGGGCGGCCGGGCTGCTCTCCTGGGTCTCCTGAGTGGGAGGCCGGGCCTCGGCGTCACAGAAGGGATCCAGCTGACATCCCTGGCAGGTAATTGAGGGGTGTCCCTGGCTGCTGGTGGCAGTGCGTTCATTGCTAGAAGGTGAGGGAGAAGAGGCCGCACAGTGGCAATACTGCATAGGGCTAGTGAGCTCAGAAAAGATGAGGAGATGGGGGTGGGAGCCCTTTCCCCATTTCTGAGATACTGCTTTTTTTTTGGGGGGGGGTCACACCCGGCATTGCACAGGGGTTACTACTGGCTCATGCACTCAGGAATTACTCCTGGCAGTGCTCAGGGGACCATATGGGATGCTGGGAATCAAACCTGGGTCAGCCGCATATAAGACAAATGTCCTACCTGCTGTGCTATCACTCCAGCCCCTGAGATACTGCTTTAAAGGGAGCCCCGACCTGCTCATCAGCACAGTTCTTCCTGTGGCGTCAGTTCTCACACGATGTGCCCCGATTCTTGGGAAGAGAGGTTAAAAACCAAAAGCACAAGAAGAGCAGATCAGAACATTCTCTTCTCGAGTCGTGCATGCACTGACCCTGTTTGGCCTGAGGAAATTACTCAGGATAGATTCAGATTTCGTTTTATTTCCCACCCCCCACCCCCCAACACGTCTGGAATATTTTTCCTGAGTGCCTGTAGCGTTGGCCCAGATTGGGCCTGGGGACAGACACTGTATAAAATACCCATGTGGAGCATTTCTGGCCCTTCCTGTGGGTGTCAGCGGTGAGACCCAGCAGGAAGGCTGTAGGGGCCAGGAGGAGTGCCCCGACGTGAGGACATGCTTTAACGGGGTCCTGTCTCCTCCCCGCAGTGTGTTCTATGTCTTCTACGAGCAGTACCTGACCATCGTGGATGACACCATCTTTAACCTCAGCGTGTCCCTGGGTGCCATCTTCTTGGTGACCATGGTTCTCCTGGGCTGCGAGCTGTGGGCCGCCGTCATCATGTGCAGCACCATCGCCATGATCCTCATCAACATGTTTGGTGTTATGTGGCTGTGGGGCATCAGCCTCAATGCTGTGTCCCTGGTCAACCTGGTGATGGTGAGTCCCCAGGGGAGGTGCGAGGACCAGGTTAGCCTGGGACCCCTGGTGGACCCGGGGCATTTGCTGCACGGCCATGGCGTCTCAGGGCAGCATGAGGGTTGCAGTTAGGAAACTCGCTGTCCCCGGCATGGCTCTCTGACCTGGGCCTCTGCCTGCCACAAGGCTACAAGCACTTCTAATGGATTAGGGCCTAGAATTAGCTTTCTGCGGGTCCCAACCTCGCACGGGGGCAGGTAACTCTTAAGATTTGTTTTGGCCTGGACAGGGCTGACTGGCTGAGCGCGTGCTTGCATGCAGGAGGCCTGGGCTCATTCCCCAGAGATAGACAAGCTAAGACGGCTTTGCCACTGTGTATTAGAAAAAGCATTGTTTATTAGAAATGAGTTTATGGCTTATTATCAGTACATGTTTGGTTTGTATCCCTGCTTTCAACACCTAAACACTTGGCAAAAAGGGGTCACAGGTGGGGACAGTTGAAGTACTCCCGTCTAGAAGAGAAGCAAAGAGAAGCTGGGGTGCATTGGTACTGGGGGTCCCAATGCAAGCAGAGCATAGTGCGGCCCATACCGGAATTACCATGGGCCAAGTTGGGGGTCGTGGGGCAGTGTCACCTTCAGAGTTCCAGCAACTTCCCCTGGTACTGGCCTATTGGGCGTCAGTACCCACCGAGAGGGGTCCCCAACTCTCCCGGCGCAGGTTGACATCCACCGCTGGGAGCAGTGCTCGGGTGTCTGTGGGTGTCTGTGGCAGCTGTCACCTGCAGCTGGACAGAGCGCACTCTCTTTCAGAGTTGTGGCATCTCCGTGGAGTTCTGCAGCCACATCACCAGAGCATTCACCGTGAGCGCGAGAGGCAGCCGTGTGGAGCGGGCAGAAGAGGCGCTCTCCCACATGGGCAGCTCCGTAAGTAGCCCCGCCAGCCCGGGACAGCCGCGTCACAGGCCCCGCAGAGCTGCTGTCCCGCCACCCCATCCTGGAATTCCCCACGGGCACCTGGTGAAGGCGTTTGCTGGCCATCACAGGACTGAAGTGGAGAGCAGAGAAGTTCAATTTACAAAAGCCATTCCCCATGTGAAATAAAGGCCTCAGGGATCAGAGAGCTGACGGAGGGCTGGAGCCCTGAGGTTCAGTGCTCAGCACCATTGGAATAGCCCAAAGCACCACTGGGAATGGCCCAATAGTTATACGGAAACAAAACAGGGCAGCAGCGATAGTACAATGGGTAGGGCACTTGCCTTGCTTGTGGCTGACCTGGGATCAATTCCCAACATCTCAGATGATTCTCTGAGCACCACCAGGAGTAATTCCTGAGTGCAGAGCAGGAGTAACCCTTGAGCATTGCTGAATGTGACCCAAGAAAAGCCCAAAAAAAAAAAAAACTTTTTTTTTTTCCCAAAAAATAGTATAGAAGGTCTCTCTCCAAATTAAGGAGGCTGTTAGGCTCAAGAGCTCAAGTACAGTTTCTAGTTGAAATCTAGAGGTCTCTTGCCTCAGCTCTAGGGTCTTACTTTACTGCTATAGAGGGATACCGTACAAAGGAACGATGCCACTTTTTTAAGTTTGACATACTTATATTTGAAATGTTTTAACGTTTTCAACTGATGATATAGATGCATTTTCTCAGGATGTCTGAAGAATACACAGCGTTTATTCTTGGCTCTCTCCTGCTCAGATGCAGTAAATAAAAAAATTTTAGATAAAGCATCATACTTATCAGTAATTCTGAGAGCAGGAGTTCATTCTTAGTACTTTCACCCTTGACTATTAAAAATGCTGTTAGAAGTATTTGATTTTATAGCAAGTTGAGAAAGTTGGCTTTTAACAACCGTCTCTCTTCTTTTAGGTATTCAGTGGAATCACACTAACAAAATTTGGAGGAATTGTAGTATTAGCTTTTGCCAAATCTCAGATTTTCCAGATATTTTACTTCAGGATGTATTTAGCAATGGTCTTGCTTGGAGCCACTCATGGACTAATTTTCCTGCCCGTCTTACTCAGTTATATAGGTAAGAACTCTAGAAGGAACGATAGGGTAGGGGTGCCCGTTGCTAAGGAAAATTTTTTAACTTGAAGTGACTTTGAACTAATGTCATTTAAATAGTAAAGCAATTTGAGGAGAAAAAAAATATCCTAGCTTGGGGAACTCAGGCTCGGCACTGTGAACTGTCCGGGATTTTTCTGACTTGTCAGCTGGGGTGCCCCACACTGCTGAGAAACCAGTGACAAGGCGTCGTGGCCTGGCAGTGTCAGCAAAATGCTTTTATTGCCTTCACTGTTCTTGCAAAAATGCTGTTTCTCCTCAGCTCAAAGACTCCCCCCAGGGTGTGAGACACTGCCTGCCCCCCCCCCCCCCCCCCCGTGTGCTGCAGGATGGTACCGCAATGCAGGGAGGGGTGTGTGTACTGTATTTGCTGCACTAAAGAAGGTAGAGTTCCAGGAAGACAGTGGGGAAGGCGTTTGGTTTGCATGTGGCCGACCTGGGTTTGATCCCTGGCACCCCATAGGATCCCCCGAACACTGCCAAATATGGCATCCCCAGCCACCAAAAAAGGTGGATATCCAGGGAAAAGTTGCGTGATTCTGGCAAGGGGGTAATTCCACCATATGAGCCTGGGAACCTCTTGCTTCAGCCTCCGTAAACCATGCAGGGGAGGAACAGTGATCATTTCCTTCATGTATAGCTTTGCCAGCTAAACACTGAAATAAATTTGGGGGCATCGTGGGTTTTGGTTTTGTTTTTTTTACCGTGGAAATAGGGAAGTTCTGTTACAGTACAAATTATTTCTCTCCCTCATAGGACCTTCTGTAAATAAAGCCAAAAGTCTGTCCACTCGGGAACGATACAAAGGGACAGAGCGAGAACATCTCCTGAACTTCTAGCCCTCGGAGGCCGGGGGCGCTGGACTGTGTGTGCAGACTGGACAGTAAGTAGCTCCACTGTCGAAGGCAAGCGAGGCCTGGACGTGACCAGACAGCAGCAGCGTTGGCTGTAGTGCTTTTCAAACTCAGGAACACAGACTTGACTTGTGAAGCAGTATTACTAGATTTGGAAGGAACCCCGGAACACTAAGGCGCCTTCCAGCTCTCCAGGACTGAAACGTGACTCCCGAACACCAGGATGCGGCTGTGACCCGCTCACAGGCCCCGCTGGAAGGCCAATCAATGCAATGTTTCTCCATTTTTAGGAGTAAGCCATCACAAGTTCAACACCATATTTTCAGTAACACTTGAGGACATTGTAGATAAGCTTTATGATAACATTTTATAGTTTAAAGAGCTTTATTGATGCAATAAATTAACTTTGTACATTTTTATATATATATCTCTATAAACAGCGATTTCAGAATGCTGTAGGCCTCATCAGAGCTTGTTCCCCAAAAACCTGTTTGAAAAAAGCAACGTGTTCTTCACAGTGTTCACCTATGAAGGAAAAGAAAGTTCATGCATTAGGTGGGGGTACAAGAAGAAAATAAACACTGTAGCTCATACAAGTGTATGTGCCCTGGTTTTACTGAATTTTCTTTTATTTCCTGAGCTCTCAAGTTGTTTGTCCTATGCATACCAGTGCAGAATGGATCAGGTACAAACTCTCCCACCCCCCCATTGAAGAGAAAATCTAAGCGTAAAAGGTTACAGCCCTAAAATTATAAAAACCTGTTACCTGTCCCCACTAAGAAGGAAGGTGCCTAGATCTCCTAACTTTGGAGAATAGGCAGCCACCATTCTTCCTAAAGGGACACCCAGCTCATGTGTCTGCCCCTGAGGCACCTTCACCACTGCATATTTCAGAACATCCACCAGCCCCCAAGAGAACCCTGAATTTACTAAGAATCGGATAAGGCTGGTTGGAGTCTCACCTGGTGTAAAATTAGGGCTCCCGCGCAAACGCTGGTTTCGTTGTTCGAAAAACCGGAAGATAGTATAGAAAAGCATATTGTCTTCAGTCTGCTTGGCAGCATCTAAAAATTTTCGTGCGGAAATATTGTCATGGCCACCTATGCCCCGAATAAACCGCAGGGCCGCTAAGACTTGGTGCTTGGAAAGCAGAACTTCCACAATCTCATCGTTAGCCGTGGAAAGTCGCTAAAGGAAGGAGAGAGAGAAGTGCCCGGGTTAAAGGCTGCAGCAGGAGCGGCCTCCTGTGAGGTTGGAGAGTTCAATGAATCCATTACCTTCAACATATCCAGAGACAGCTGATGAGCGGGAGGATAAAAACTTTCCAGGGATAAGAGCAGGCAGGCCTGAAAGGATAGAGTTATTTCAGTCCAGCTCATGCCAGTCTTCCACCCCTAATCCCCAGAGGCGGAAAATCCCGATGACCCTTACCAGTGGCTTCGAGTCGCTGAGGACATGGTACTGCAGAAACTGGTGCAGCATGTAGAAGAGGTTGTGCTGGACCAGGGTCTTGATCACGAGTTCATGCAGGTAATGCTGAGGACACAAAGCAGAGCTGGCTGTCCCCATGCACGACCTGCCATGCCCCGTGCTGCTCAGCAGCCCTTCTGGCAGGTTCCCACTCCCTGTGGCTGGGCTCACTCTTGCGAATAAGGGGACTGAGCGATAGCACAGCAGGTAGGGCGTTTGCCTTGCACGTGACTAACCCAGGTTCGACTCCCAGCATCCCATATGGTCCCCTGAGCACCGCCAGGAGTAATTCCTGAGTGCAGAGCCAGGAGTAACCCCTGTGCATTGCCAGGTGTGACCCACCAAAAAAAAATCAAAAATCAAGGCGGCAGCGTTAGGAGAGTCACCCTGAGTCCCGGGTCAGGCATGCCCTGAGCATTTCCCATGGTCGCGTCTGATTAGAAGATACCTGTACTGCAATCTGGAACTGGTTCAGAGAGCGGATGTACTCCATCAGCACGGATATCACAAATTTATGCGGCATCTCCTGCGGAGGAGGGGTGGGGGAATAAAAAGGCCTAAGGAACATCAAGAGCTGTAAAGGCAGCTCTGGGGCGACTCTGCCCACCCATCCCTCTGTGCTTTCCTACACAGACCCGTCACGACTGTGTGGGCCCAAGCAGAAGCAAACGGTTCATTAGCACTTGATCCTCGCCTCGCTCTCACGGCCTGAGGAGTGCCAACCTATGAGTCTGTGGAGACTGTTGGGTCCACAAGCCCCCGAGCAGCCACCTACCTTCTTCTCTGTGAACCCGGACAGGACGTGGGTGTACATGTCCGACTGATCGATCACAGCTTGGGTCCGCACTGGCCTTCTGAGAAGTGGACTGCTCCGGCTCTGCCCTGCTTCAACTGCCTGAGTAACAGGACAAACAGGATCCTGGTCATCACGGAGTAACGGGGCTTTGGCAGTTCATCCAAAAAAATAATAATAATAATAAAGACCATTCCTACATGCTCTGAACCCCAAATAGGTTTCTCTTCAGACTTTTCTAACCTTTCAAAAGTGAAAAAGAATTTTCTTATGGAATTATCCTGTGATGTTTTCTTATCTAATAAAAATAAAATCGCTTATTTGCAGCTTGGTTCGGTGAAGCCCTGATTCAACATAAGTGTCGATCTGCCATTTTAGGTGATTAGCAAGGCTCCCAAGGGCTTCTCAGTAGAAGCTGAGCCCTTGACTCTTTCCCCTGAAACTTTATAAAGTCATCTGGACAGCAGAGTCTGCAGGAACAGCCTGGGGAAATTACATTTTTCCAGTGATGCCCCAGGGTGGATTGGTGGAGGACCCCACCCACGACTAGGACAGGCTCACAGAATCTGACGGACCAGGACCAGAACAGGCAGGAGAGAAACCACTTCCTGCTTCGGGGCTGTGAGGAGGCCCCAGAACAGAGTGTCCCCTTTGAGGTGCAAAATGCAAGGAAGTGCAGCTCTGGGTTCTCAGTTACTGTTGATAGCCGCTTTCAACCTAAGAAAACTTAAGATCTCGGAATGAAGCAATTGATTCTACCTGTTCTAAACTTTCCAGCTTCAGAAGACAGAAGCTGCTCACAAACTTTTTCCAGCCCTTCATATCAATTTTTTTTTAATCCTACAGTAGGGGCTGTAGTGATAGCACAGCGGGTAGGGTTTTTACCTTGCATGCGGCCGACCAGGGTTCGAATCTTAGCATCCCATATGGTCCCCCGAGTACTGCCAGGAGTAATTCCTGAGTGCATGAACCAGGAGTAACCCCTGTGCATCGCTGGGTATAACCCAAAAAGCAAAAAATAAAAATTTTTAAAAAATATTTTTTAAAAATCCTACTGTATGAAGAACTCGCTACTCAGTTAACCATCACTATCCGATGGGACAGACTCATTGCCAGTAGTGTCTCATTTTTATGCTTACTGCATCCTAAAAGAAAAGGAAGAGGATGCAGCAAGATAATTACAATTTACGAAGTCTGGTTTCTGCCTTGGAGTCGGGGGTATAAAATAATGACAGAGGGCCAGCTCATGCAGGAAGCCTGGGCATGGGTCCTTCGCCACACGGTCCCCTAAGCACGGCTGCGGGAGGGCCAAAACAAACCAAAAATCAAAAAACAACAATGCAGAGTTGATTTGGGGGCTACATCTAGCAGTGCTCTGGGGTTATTTCTGGGGAACCATATGCGATGGTCGGGATGGAACCCAGGTTGGCCGCATCAAGATTAATTCCCTACCTGCTGCATCACTGCCGGCACCACAGTGCATGGTAGAGACGGACTTCTTTGATCCGCAAAATAGAAGCAGGCCAGGGCTCAATACACAGATCAAACAAATCACAAAGATGAAAGCAGGAAGCAACGGGATGCGGGGACTGACTGAATCCAGCTCCCGGCTGTGGCCTGCCCGAACCTCAGTGCTTCTCTTTAAGAATCATGCAGACCGACCATCACAGCCGTGGGCTCAGGGCACAGATACCCCTCTCCACAGTCCTGGGACTTACCAAGGTGTAACTCTGCTCGGCGTCAAGGTACTTTTTATACTCCTGGTTGAGTTTGTCGAAAACAGTGGCTATTACAGGCAACGTTGCTTTGTCTGACTCGCTCAACACTGAAAAGAATCAATGTGCATCCAGGTCAATGGCCTCTGTCAACAAGTGGCTGTCAGAGAAATGCTGGCCCCCTGGTGGCCAGTGCAGACCAGCTGCTCATAAACAACTGCGAGAGAGGGCGCGGGGAGTACTTTCTGTGCTCAGGGCACCAAGCCCAGGCCTCCTGCACACAAAGCATGTGGTCAGCAAACCCCAGCTGCAGAGAATGTCACAGATCAGAGATTCAAAGCACAGAATCTCCAGCCTCCTCAGGTCACTAGGGAAAAAAACAGGTCTTGGGGCTCTGAGAAGATTCTCAGGGACGTATGCAGCAAGTGCTCTGGAGAACACTTGACCTCGTCAAAGTTGGATAGTAGCCCACTGTCCTCCTTGTGCCCACGTTCTCATTTGCTTTCATCAAGAAGCACCTATTAACAGTCTAGGGGTTTGGGGGCTAACTGAAGCCAGAGCCTCACACGCATAAGGCAGTGGTCTACGACCCAGCCACAAAGCCAGCCCATGTGTAGTCTCTCTACCACGTTTTTATACCTACAGTCTTTGTGGTGGGTTAAACAACTCATCGAGTATGGAACGAGGTGAGATGCTATTGACCAGGCGTGAGAATGCGACCCCTCTCCCGTAAAAGGTGTGAGCAGCGCAGGCCTGGGGCCGTCCACATACTCTGGGCACAGACAGACAGGATGACCATCTTGCACTCCTTCCGCTGGAGGAGGAAGTCCATGAGTCGCCCTTTATCCGGCAAGAGGTTCACCACGGGCTGAAGTTTCACTTGGAGGTTCCAGAGATACCCTAGAGAGAGGAGGCAATAAATGTAATAGCATGACGAAGAACTAGGTGCCCCTTAACTGCACACAGGGATCTAGGAAGCACAGTCATGCGTTTCCAGAGGAAACAGAGTGCAGCCAGCCTGCCCACCCCAGTACCTCCACCAACCCGGCTTATTCTGTGTGGTACATTCCTCATCTGCACTGAAGCCAACAGCCTCAGAGCACATTTTTCTCCTTGAGAATCTCAGTTGCTATGACAGGAAAGTAAACTATCAATGTATCACTGTCATCCTGGTGTTCATTTGCTCAAGCAGGCAGCAGTAACGTCTCCATTCATCCCTGTCCTGAGAATTTAGCAGCCTCTCCTTACTCGTCCTTCCCAGCGCTGCTGTATTGGAGGCTCTTTCAGGGTCAGGGGAATGAGACAAGTTGTTGTTACTGTTTTTGGCATATGGAATACGCCACGGGGAGCTTGCCAGGCTCTGCCAAGGAAAGTAAACTTGGCTAGATTAATGTAGAAAGTTTTCTGAGCAATGGGACAGTGGTGTTAAGGCACTGGCTTTGCCTGTGGCCAACCCCAGTTCAACCCCTGGCATCAAATATGGCTCCCCCAAGCACTGCCAGGAGTCCCTCCTGAGCACTGAGCCAGGAGTAGCCCTAAGCACAGCCAGATGTGATCCAAAACAAATTTTAAAAAGTTCTCCTGGTGGGTAAAGCTATAGTACAGCAAGAAGGGTGCCTGCCTTACAGTCCCCTGACCCAGGAGTCATTCCTGAACACACAACCAAGAGTAACCCCTGAGTATCGCTGGGTGTGGTACACAAACCAAAAACCATCACTGTCACTGTCCTCCCGTTGTTCATCAATTTACTTGAGTGGGCCCAGTAATGTCTCCATTGTGACACTTGTTACTGTGTTTGGCATATCAAATACGTCACAGGTAGCTTGCAAGGCTTTGCCGTGTGGGCAAGATACTCTTGGTAGCTTGCCAGGCTCTCCGAGGGGTGAAGAAATTGAACCTGGGTCGGCCAGGTTGGCCGCATGCAAGACAAACACCCTACCCACTGTGCTATCGCTCCAACCAAAAACCATAAAAAATCCAAAAGCTCTTTCATAGAAATACACAAATAGCAGATTTACTGGGAAGAAACAACCAACGTGTGAGGTGTGCTTTAGGCCTGAACGACAGAAGTGGGGCAAGGACTTGGGGGGAGGTGGAGAGGTTGGTGCAGCGAGCCCGGCTCTTCAGACGGAGACTTGGTGGTAGAGGAAAACACATTGGTGAAGGGACAGGTGTTGGTACACGGCACGACTGAAGATCACGAGCAACTCCGTAACTCTGTATCTCAAGGTGATGAATTAAAAATTAACAAAACAAAACAAAACCAACATTCAGGATAAGACACACTAGACAGGGGCTGGAGCGGCAGCACAACGGGTAGGGCGTTTGCCTTGCACGCGGCCAACTTGGATTCGATTCCCAGCATCCCATGTGGTCCCCTGAGCACCGCCAGGGGTAATTCCTGAGTGCAGAGCCAGGAGTAACCCCTGTGCATTGCTGGGTGTGACCCAAAAGAAAAAAAAAAGACACACTAGACAGGGCTGGAACGATAGTACAGCGGGGAAGGCATTTGCCTTGCACACGGCTGATCCAGTTCAATCCCTAGCACCATATATGGTCCCCCAAGCACCACCAGGAGTAATTCCTGAGTGCAGAGCCAGGAGTAACCCCTGGGCACCGCTGGGTGACACCATTTCCCACAAAAAAAAAAAAAAAAAAAGAAGAAGAGAAGGAAAAATACATATATAAATCTAGGCACACCAGATGAAATGAAATAAAGTAGAAAGGAGTCCCATTCCCAAGACTGGAGGAAGAGGCCATTTCTCCCAGGTTCACCCTGAAAGCATCACTGGCTCCAACTGTCCCTCCACACCCACAGCCCTGCTCTCCCTAGTGCCACAGCGTCCCCGTGCACCCACCTTGGCTGGCACTGATGATGATGTCTGGCTGGAAGACAATCCAGGAGGAAGAATCCACGTGCTATCGGAAAGTACTCCAGGAGCAGACAAAGACGCAGGACCAGTCCAGCCTCCCTGCCCGCCCAACCCTGTCCCCTCCACGAGGCCTCCCCCCCACTGCCCCGCGGTCGCCCAGCACCCCCCAATGGGGCTCTGGGGCAGTGCATTGCCCCTGCATGCGCAGCATCCCGGTCTATGTCAAGGATACAGAGCTTGCACGGGACTGGAGACTGGCTGGTCACAGGAGCGGGGCCTGCAGGGGCAGGAAACACAAGGGTACAGGGACAGTGATGCCGCATCAGTAGGGCCAGTCCTCCTGGTCCAGGGACCATATGGGGTACTCAGGATCCAGCCCAGGTGGGCAGCATGCAGGGTAAGTGCCTCACCCACTATAGCATCTCTCTGGCCCCACACCATCCATTATTTTAACGCTCTCCTGGCTGCAGGCGGTAGACGCTTGAAAGAACCCATAAACTTAAAAGACCTATCAAACACCTGTGGAACCTGCTCCTTCCTCCCCAGCGGCGCCATAGTGAGCCACAGGTTTCTAGTCACAAGCTTCTAATTGCTAATTACACTCAAGCTAATCCAGCAAAACTGGGCCAGCAGGTCAGCGTGGCCTTCTCGCTGAGTATCAGCCAAGATCAGCATCTTCTTTGTAACAGACTCACAAGCACCTGAACGCTGGCAGGGCCAGCCCACCAATGCTATAGGCCAGGTCTGAAGCTGTTGAGGGCAAAGATGCTTCCAGACCCCTCATCCGGCTGAGTTGGCCGGGGCACCTCAAAGAGGGGCAGGTGAGCCCACCACCCGCCCAATCAGAGCCCCGGCAGCCGAAAACCTCCACACACTCCACAATCGCTGCCATGCTCACGGCTGTACTCCAAGCTCCAGGTGAGCCTCATTCAGAAACAAACCTGTTGAAAAGCTCAGGTTCTCGGGTTTTGTGACTGAAATCTCCAGGTTTTCACGGACTCAGGGATGGGTGACCTCCCCACATCTCCCTGTGCTTCTGGAAGCTTCAGCAGTCATGCCATGAACTGCCTTTGGCACCAAATAAGCTCATTAACTGGCCGTGATCCAGAGATTGATAAATAAATCTCAAAAGAGATCAACAAGTTGCAGAGATGCTTCTGGACCCCATGCCTCCAAAGTTAACACCCAGTTAAAAATTTAATTCCAGCTGTCTTAGCCCATTCCAAATGTTTGAATTCCTGGAGCGTGCAGTCCACGTGACATCTCAAACTCTATCTGATTGATATACCAGGGGTAGCTCACCGCACTGGGTGGGATGTATAGCAGAAGGCAACTAATCTCGATTAACAAAATACAAACATACAAGGCTTAACATGGAACAACATGTTAGTACTCTCTTCCACAGGGGCTTAATGACCCCATGGTGAAATACAATATTCACACACTTTCTTCTAAGGAAACACTTTTTGATCATTTTTAGAAAATTATAACAAGCAATATAAAATAAATATTTTTATATTTATTTTATACTTATTTCAGGGCCTGCTATAGAGGCAGGCTTGAGGGGTGGTTGGGAAACTTGGAAATAATGGTGGTGGAAAGATGCAATGGTGGCAGATTGATGTTGGAATACTGAATGTGATAAATCATCAAGAACAACTTTATAAAAATGAATTTCATTTTTTTGCTTTTTCTGGGTCATACCCAGCAATGCACAGGTGTTACTCCTTGCTCTGCACTCAGGAATTACTCCTGGCGGTGCTCAGGGGACCATATGGGATGCTGGGAATCGAACCCGGGCCAGCCACATGCAAGGCAAACGCCCTATCTGCTGTGCTATTGCTCCAGCCCCCAAAAAATTAATTTTAAAAAATTTAAGAAGTATTCGATATGCCAAAACACAGTAACAACAAAGTCTCCAATGGAGACGTTACTGGGCCCGCTCGAGCAAATCGATGAACAACGGGAGGACACAGGACACAGGTTAAAGAAAAAAATATATTTAAGAAGCTGTTGGGGTTCCCAGTGTGTATCATCACACTATGATTTTCACTCTGCAACAGCACTAACTCACCCTGTCTGTCTGTCTGTCTGTCTGTCTAAGAGCTGGTGCTAGGGGACGGGGCCCTGGGGAACAGGGCAGGCTTTGTGAGCATGAGGCTCTGGACTACAGTCCCCAACACCCCAAATTATTAAAGTAAAAGAGAGGTAAACACTAAGTTCTACCTTGAAATCAACTGCACTAGGCAGAGAGGACCCAGATGTCTCTTCTTCCACTCCTCTGAAATCCTGACCTCGACTCTAACTTCTGCTCTCACATCTTCAGGGAAAAGGAGTGACAAAGACTAACCTAAGAGCCAGAGCCTCAAGCACTAACTCTGGTCAGGGCAGAAAGCAGTCTTTCTCCCGTGACACTAAGTGGGCCAAAGATGAGGAAGAGCGATCCCAGGTTAAAATAACAGCCACCCGCGGTCAAATGGACAGGACAAAGAATGTCAAGGACTCATTCAACAATTGCAAAAGCACCCCACTTCATTAAGCAATCACAACTCTCTATGTTAAAGCTCGGGAAAATAGAAATCTTTCTCCCCTTTCCGAAAGAAGATGCATTAGTCCTGCAAATGTGCCTTTCTCCGCCACATAACTGTTGGTTACAGAATCAACAACTGGACAATACAGAATCAGTGGGAGCTTTTTAAAAAAACCAACCAACCCAGCACCCCTTCCACAAGCTAACAGATCTCCGAGTTCTGCACGTACTCCTGCCTGTCGCAATTTGAACTTGGTTCCTTTTTTACCTGCCATGGGGATCTGGTAGGGCTGAATGGATCGCGCTGGAAGCACTGGATGGTGGAAAGTAACAGTGCCATCAAACTCGCCCCTGAGCTTGATATCAAATATCACGGATGTCTAAAGAGAGAGAGAGAAGGCGGAAAGGTCACAGATGGCCAGGTGGTCTGCGACACAAGATCCCTAAGGCAAGTTCTCGTTGGAAGACGAACGTGCTTAGTAACCTCTCCACTAGCTTTTACACTTTTGCTGACTCTCCCAAATATTCCTGGCTCTCCTAACACAGGTCTTCTGAAGAGTGCCACGCTGGTGGAGTGGATCGTTCTCACTTTAAGTTACAGCATCTTCACTAGACACTGCTACCCCCGCCCTCCAGAAAGCAGGGCCAGTTCTAGTGCTTTCTTCCCAGCTAGGGGCTTAAAACCATCATCCTCACAGAGAGAAGAATAGAGGGAAGGCTCATGGGACACACACAGTGGCTCTGCTGTGATTCTCAACTTAGCTGATTCAACCAGATCAGGGTTCCAAACTCAAAATCTACTCATTTATAATCTTCTGAAATAGTTTTGTATTATCCTAAATCATCTGATACAGAATCACTGCTTTTCCCACACCACTTAACATATCAAATCCATTTCCATCTGGAAGATGAAAATTTTTAGCATAAAGAGTACTTTCTAGGCCTTATTCAAAAGATCGTGTCAATTTTGACAGCTCACTTGGGCAATGCTAACTGGGCCCAGCCCAGACACCCACCCACAGCCGGTACCTCAGTATCCTGATGATGAACGACCACCAGGTTATCCACAACGTTTAGGGCAAACTTCCCAGTCCGATTCAACTTTAATATGTGCGTCTTCTTACAGGTACCTTCTCTGAAGGGTCAGAGAAAGATTAAAAAAAAAAATACACACACACACATACACACACACATGCATGTATGTGTATAGACTGACAAGCTTAGTTTCTATTTTTACTTATTTTTTAAGACTTTTTTATTGAATTACTGTGAGATAGACCCTTAGAAAGCTGTTCATAGTTATATTTCAGTCATACAGTGTTCCAACACCCATCCCTCCAACAGTGTACATTTCCCAGCACCAGTATCCCCAGTTTCCCTCCCATCCCCCCCCCTCAGCCTGCCTCTATGGCAGACACTTTTCTTCTCTCTCCTCTCTCTCTCTCTCCCTCTTCCTTCCTTCATTCCTCCCTCCCTCCCTCCTTTTGGACATTATGGTTTGCAATACAGATACTCAAAGATTATCGGCTATATCCTTTACCTACTTTTAACACTCAGTTCATTTCCAGCTATTATTGTCATACTGGTCACTTCTCTATCTTACCTACCCTCCGTGCCACACCCTCACACACACACTTGTGGTTGATTTCAACCACTGCCTTAGTCCCTGTTTTGAAACCAGAGAAAGAGGGAAGCAGCATTATAAACATACCGTGGCAGGTGATAGAGGACCACTTCCGCTCCTGTGCTGTTGGATGTCCGAGAATGGTGCCTCAGGAAGAGGACATGGAGCTGCCCGTATCTGGACAGAGAAGAGACAACTAGGTCACAGTCAGCCATCAGCAATTCTGCCACTCAACCCACTGAATTTTAAGGTCATAGTTAAGTTAGGAGATATTCACTGCAGTATTTCACTACCGGCAAAAGTACTCATGGGATGGAGAGGTGTCACACCAGGTATGACGTAAAAACTTAAAAAAAAAAAAACCTAACAAAGTGCAATAAGCTTTATTTATTTTGCTTTTGGGGGTCATACCTGGCAATGCTAAGGGGTTACCCCTGGCTCTGCACTCAGGAATTACTCCTGGTGGTGCTTGGGGGACCATTATGAGATGCCAGGGATTGAACCCAGGTCAGCAAGGCAAATGCCCTACCCACTGTTCTACCACTCTGGCCCAAGTGTAGTAAACTTTTGTCACTGTCCTCCCCTTGTTCATCGATTTGCTCGAGCAGGCCCAATAATGTCTCCATTGGAGACTTTGTTGTTACTGTGTTTGGCATATCAAATACATCATGGGTAGCTTGCCAGGTTCTGCCATGCAGGCAAGATATTCTCAGTAGCTTGCCGGGCTCTCCGAGAGGGGCAGAGGAATCGAACTCGGGTCGGCAGTAAACTTAAAAAAAAAAAATTATTACCAAGCAGAGGATGCAAAGCCAAGTATAATCTGGTCACAATATTTTAAAAGAAAAATGCAGACTTTGGTGTGTCTCCAAACATTGGATACCTGATGTTAAGAGCTATCACTGATCGGGGCTGGAGCAATAGCACAGCGGGTAGGGCGTTTGCCTTGCACGCGGTCAACCTGAGTTCCATTCCCAGCGTCCCATATGGTCTCCTGAGTGCCGCCAGGAGTGATTCCTGAGTGCGGAGCCAGGAATAACCCCCCTGCCTGTGCATTGCCAGGTGTGACCCAAAAAGAAAAAAAAAAAAAGAGCTATCACTGACAACTAATATTTTTCTCCATTTTCTGTACTTCCCAAGCTTTGTATGGGAGTGTACTCACGAGTATATTCATTAAAATTACAGGTAAACATAATCACACTTCATCCTTGAGTCTCGTCTAACGAATGCTGCCGGTCCCGTCGCTACAAGCACCCAGGGAAGGGGAGAGCAGAGAAGGGGGTTGGGGGCTGCCTCCCACCAGCTGCTCTGCTCTCATTTTATCTGCTGTCAAAACCAGGGTGGCACACTGACTGCGTCAGAGAGGACGAGAATGCGAGAGGGAGAGAAAATGATAGGGAAGGGGGTGGTGTGGGGTAAGAGAAAAATGAGAGGGGTTTAAGGTGCTTGCCTTGCACACAGCTGACCCTGGTCTCACTGCACCAAGCACTACCAGGTGTGGCCCCCAAACCCCAGTAAATTAGATCACAAAGCTCGCCACAGAAGGAGGAGGTCAGGAAGACCAACAGGTCCTGCTAAGACCCAGGGACCACAAGGAAAGGGGGACCTCACATGGGTGTGGGTTCCAGGGCACACACTGAATGCACCACCACTACCCAAGCAAGCGACATCCAGCGGGCAGCCCGCCCCAAAGGCACACATACATTGTTGCCATGGCCATGTCTCTCTCCGAAAGGCTCAGTTTAGTCGACTTGGGCGCAGCTGGTAGTTCAATCTCAAACTTGGGCAGCTTTGACATGGTGCCAGCCTGTGTAGGGGGGGAGAGAAGGTCGTCAAATCTCCTGATGTGTTTGTTCACCTGCCCTCTGTACCATCACCGAGGGCATACACAGACGCCGCCTATCCCTGCCAGTGGCCCCCTGGGACGGTGCAGGGTGCCCTCTAGTGGTCAGTAGTGGCCATGTGCTTGCTGGAGGAACTGCCCCTTTGAAGGACCAGACACATTGTAGCTGTTGGGGAGGGTTAATCACAATTTTTGTTTTATTTATTTATGCTTTTTTTTGGGGGGGGGGTCATCTTACCTGGAAATGCACAGGGGTTACTCCTGCTCTGCACTCAGGAATTACTCCTGGCGGTGCTGGCGGGGGGGGGGGGGGGGGGGGGGAACCATATGGGATGCTGGGAATGGAACCCGGGTCGGCCACGTGCAAGGCAAATGCCCTACCGGCTGTGCTATCGCTCCAGCCCTAAGTGGGCACTTTGTCAAGGGAGACCTGCTCTTACCCGGAAGTAAAAGGGCTGCAGCACGTTCCCGAGGACTGTGGTGGACAGCAGGATCACTGCGCTCTCGGGGCAGTACATGTACCAGTTCACGTTGATGTTCTGGCTCTTCAGGAGCTTCAGACTGCGCTTCTCTGGCAACACCTGGGGCCAAGACCAAGACACAAGACTCCTCAGTGGAGAAGAGCAAAGAGTCAAAGGACAGACGTGGTGAATGAAGAAAACAAGAAAAAGAGGGAAAAATCCAGTGCATTCAAACCAGAGGCAGTTACTCAGCTCTCTCTTCTGCACCCAGGCCTGAGTGCTGACCAGCCCCGACTCTCGGCCTGCTCCCACTCACTAAGGTGGGAAAGACAGCAAGGGAGGGAGGGAAGGAACAAGCTGGCTCTGCCCTCAGTGCCGCAGCGGCCACTTCCCGTCCCTCTGGGCCTCCACTCGGTCAGCCACAGTCAACACAGCACAGGGCAGCTGCCTCCTCGTCCTTCCTGGGAAGAACAAAAGCACAGCCCTGCCCGACACTCACCAGCCAGTGCCAGGCTCAGCTGCGTTCCCACCTGGACCCCGTTCACACTGAGTGGGGGGAGAGGCCGCACCTGACCTGAGCGTGGAACCCAGGCCTCCTGCTCCCGTCCCGGGCTCCCCCTCTCCAACACGAACTCTCAAGCACACCACACACTGCATGACCAAGACACTTCAGCACACTCTACAGACCCTGTGATACACACACACATACACACACACAAACACAATCACAGCACACAGCACCCGGCCAAGACATTAATACTTATAGAACACAGCACCAAAGAATTGGTGTGAAAATCAGACTAAGAAGGCACTGGTTTTTAGGAAATTCAGATATAATAAAATCATCCTGGGCTTATATTAGGATAAATATTTTGGAGGTGGGGGGTGGGGTGGGGCCAGCCACACCTGGCAGTGCTCAGGGACTACCCCTAGCTCTGAGTTCAGGAGTCACTCATTATTAGCATATAATCTAAAATCAAAATTTAGAGCCCCTTTTCTAACACGTTTCTCAAACACTTCAAGACGATCTAGACCACAGCATCTTAATGATGCCAGAGCTACAAATGTGAATCACAACCACAGACGGTATCAACCCTAATGGCTGTTCTTGAAAACACAGAAAAGTGTCAGTGAGATTATTGAGGAGGGGATTGTCCAATGGTATGGTGGAAAATAGCATGGCAAAAATTAAAAAACAGAATGTGGCTGACTGCGTTCAATCCCTGGCACCCCAAATAGTTCCCTGAGCATGGCCAGGAATGATCCCTAAGCAGAACCAGAAGTAAGCCCTGAGCATCGCTGGGTATGGCCCCCAAACAAAACAAAACAACAACAAAAAAAAACCCCACGTATTACTTGTAACATAAAAGAAATAAATTAAAGCTCTAGAATTTCAATATATCTTCTTATTGCTAAATTTAAAAGGCTGACAAACTGCTATCACAGTGGAACAAAGATGAAGGATAGATATACCTGGTAAAATTCTATTCCTTGATCTGTTATGAAGACAATTTCCGAAGAGCTGGTCCAGCAGAATCCAAGTATGTTGGCATTCTTGGTCTGAAGAGAATTAAAGGTTCGTTTTCTTAAAATGAATGCTTCAAGAACAACTCTGCTCAACAGCTTAATACGGTCTCTGGTACACATTGGCTGAACCCAAAGGTCTAATTACTGGGGCTGGGACATCGCTCAAAGGGCCAGGCTGGGATGCAAGGTCAACAGACAGGAGGTCCAGGCACACCCCCAGCACCTCAGGGTTTCCTCAGCACCACTGGGCCATCTCCCCAGCATCCACCCAGCCAGGGCTCCCCTAGCACCTGAGGGTGTGGCCCAAACAAATACATCCCACGAACCCCCCACAAAAGATAATAACAGCCTTTACTTTAAAACAGTGAAAATTGGGGCTAAGAGACTGTACAGAGGTTAGGGTGCATGCCAGCTCATAGCTGCCCCCGCAAACACTGCCAGGTGTGGCTCTGGAGGTCCCCAAGAACTCGGGCCCGAGCAGCATCGTATTCCTGGGCCCTTGCACTGAACTGCTGTGCCAACTGGCCAAGTACTATCCTGGAGGTCTCCTAAGCACCACCTGGGAGCCCTCCCTGCCCCGGCACCCACAAATAGACATATAATAAAATCAACCAGTCAGACCGTGCAAAGTCACGGCGCCCACGGGCAGCCTGTCTCAGTACAAAATTCCGGAACACTCCAGCGTGTTCCTCAGCCCAGCCTGCCTAGGTGACACCAGTTCCCCGGAAAGCAACCCGCCCCTACCTTGCACTCCTGCGTGTACTCCTGCTGGGAACTATCAGGAATGAAATTGGAAAAATCCTGAAAGAAAAAAGCCCAGAGAGAAGCCTGGATTAGGCAGCATCCCGTCAACCTCCTCTGGGACCCAACGAGGAGGAAGGGAAGAAAGGAAAGAGTGGATTCAAAAAGTAAGCAGAAAAAAACTGACAAAGCCGGAGACAGTCAAAGTATTACCCGCATCCTTTCCTGACTAGCAGTAGTTAGAAGATACAGGTCTTATTGTTTGGTTTTGTTTAAGTGCTACCCCTATACTTGAGTAACCAATCCTGATGAAAGGAAAGAGGATTCTGCCTCTCTTCGCTCACAGCTTTCTCTACGGAGGGCAACGTGAGCCTAGCCCAGGATGCTCCAGCAAGGCCGAGCTCCGCAGCTCTGAGTGCCTTATTAGTGCACTCAGAGGACTCAAGTACCAGGTGAGGCAAATTCACGGAAGCAGCGCAAAACGTGCTAGGCCAGCTAGCAACCGAGGGTTTCCTTTTGTTTTTCAGTTTAAGTCAAATAAATTATAAAGATGTAGCTTATCCCTGGGGCACTTGATGAGCATGTGTGAGGCTCTGGATTCGATTCCACCCCAGAAAAAAAAAAAAACAGGAACTAGGGCCATAAGGTATTATTCCCTAAATGTCTGTCTCACAAAGAACTCCAAAAGACAAAATACAGAGCCACAGGAAGAAACTGTTTTCACGGTTTTTTTTTTTAATTAATTTATTTTTTGCATTTTGGGTCACACCCGGTGATGCTCAGGGGTTACTCCTGGCTCTGCACTCAGGAATTACTCCTGGTGGTGCTCGGGGGACCATATGAGATGCTGGGAATCGAACCCAGTCGGCAGTGCGCAAAGCAAAACGCCCTACTCACTGTGCTATGGCTTCAGCCCCTGTTTTCACTTTTAAATATATGCATTTACTTTCATTGACTTTTCCTTTAGATTACAGTTAAAGATGAGTCTTACCACCGTCTTTGACGTCCTCTGAACAGCCAGTATTTTATTTTCTAAGGAAAACTTAATGCACTTCACTTCTCCTTTGTCTTCCATCCTTTAAGAAAGAGTATGGTAAGAATGAAAGCTCGTGGGCCAGGCAACACTCGCCTCCCACTGGTGAGGCCCTGGGCTCAACCTCCGCCCACACCAAGGACAATTAAAAGATGTCTAATGGAATTCTAGTTTCTTTCACTTTATGAGAAGGAAAAACGGAAAAGCTAAATATTCAGAAAGATCACATCTGAGTTTAAAATCCCGTTTCTGAACCTCTCAGTCGCCACCACAAAGGCAAACTCCAGGGACCAGAGCAACGGTATGGCAGGCCGGGTGCTGGCCTTGATTTGACCGATCCAGGTTCAACCCTGGAGTCCCGCCAGGAGGGATCTCTGAGTGCAGAGCCAGGAGTAAGCTCTGAGCACCTTCAACAGCCCACCCCTAAAATAAAAAAGACAAACCCTATGGGCAACAGGTCTGGGCTCTGTTGGACAAATGACAAGCGGCCTCATAGACAAGAGATGAGGCCTAAGACCTCCTGCATGTTCATTCACCTGAGCCTGGTGGTCACGGTGCAGAAACCTGCACATGTCACTCCCTTCTCTCTCTGGGCTGCAGGGCACAGCCCAGCCCATCTGGGCCTCACTCACTCACCTCAAGGTTTAGAGAGGGGTGCAAGGACACTTCCAGGTTAGGAGGCATCCTTTATTGTGACGCTTTCATGGTTATACACACATGCCCAAAACTCATCCACTGTCTGTGCAAACGACCTGCCACTAATAATGAGCAAACTATAACAAAGCTATCAGAAACTGGGCTGGGAGAGAGAGGGGCTGAACCACACCCAACAGTGCTCAGGGATTACTCTTAACTCTGAGCTCAGGGGCATTCCTGGCATGCTGCGGAGGAGGAGGGGTTGGCTCACCAGGGATCGAACTGGGGCCAGCCACGTGGACCCACCCCCATTCACCTATATTTTTATACCCAATAGACCACCAGGTCAGAGTCAAGAGCCAAGTGAACCCCCTCCTGTATGCCCCTGTGATTCAAGTCTATGCTGCCTCCTGTCTCGTCTTCCCGGAATCAGAACAGGGCCCCCTATCTCTGATAGGTCCTCACTCAGCCAGCCGCAATGCCAACAAGAGACGGATCAGACACTGATACGATCAAGGTGGGGGCCCAAACATTCACTAACAAGCCAAAACCCCGATTCAGCAATGGAACATGGAAGTTTAAGCTGGCTCCCGCCAGTGGCCACCCGACCAACACTTCCCCTTTCTTGCACGAGACACCTGGTGTTGGGTGGCACAGAGCCTGTGCTTTCTCACTGCTCCTCTTACTGCCTCTCCATTTTTTTTTGGAGGGGGAGGGGAACCACAGCTGGCAGTGCTCAGGGCTCAACCCTGGGTCTGCACTCAGGAATCACTCCACAGAGGGACCAGGGGATGCTATGTGGTGCCGGGATGTAACCCAGGTCAGCCACATGCCAGGCCAGGGCCCTGCCCACTGCACGGACTCCCTCTCTCGCCGTCCAGGCTCATCCCGCTGGGGCAGCAAATGTGGAACAGGCTGCCTCCTCTCCTCCCGTCTTCCTGGGCAAGGGTCTAACAGAGCTAAGGGGTCTCTAGGAATGCTGGGTGTAGGGGGATTGACGTGCCAGCTGTGATGTGGCAATGCTGGGCATGAGGGTGATGTGCCAAAGATCAAACCAGGGCCCCACGCATGCAGAGCTCATACCTGAGCTGGTGTGAATGTGAGAATGTGTGAATGGTGCAGAATATGAGCCCACATTCTACAAAGTGCCCACAACACGCCTGACCCCATGTGCAGTCTGTGCGAGCCACTCACCTATCTCCCTTCTACAGCTCTGGGTTCTCTAAGGAACACCAGGCAACACCCCAGAGCCTCCACAGGCTGACACCTACCTAGCACAGCGGAAGCATGCAGGATTTGCTGGACAAAAGAGGACTAAACGGGGAAGTGTGACTCATTTTCTACTTCAGTTTCCTACTGCTGCAAGCCAACCATGAAAAGCCTTTCAGTCACCACAGAACTGAGGAAGCCCGCTATACACTCCTCTCTGGCAGTCACGGGACTTATGGTATCATCTACACTGACCATAAGCTCGCAAAGTCCAGCGAGGAAAAAAGAGTCCTTGGCAGACACAAGACCAGAAATAGCCACCTCCACACACTGACTGGCTCATTTCAAGTACCAGGATGTAGGTGTCCTACTTTGGTGCATTAGGTTTATTAAAACAAAGGGGGGGGGGGGGGAAGAGACCACACCACATATTTCATGCTGAAAGTGCCACCAGGATTCCACAACAGGTGTCTGCTTCCCTATACACACGTACTTTAGATCTCTTAGAGTAAAGATTTGCCAAAAAAAAATTTTGAAAAAGGCCAAAATTCTAAAAGCCCCTCTGAGGGCCTATGAGAGCTCAACAGGCTGGAGCACATGCCCTGCATGCAGGTGTCCCAGGTTCTTGCCGCATTCGCGTGGCTCCCTGAGCACAGAGCCAGGAGTCTTCTCAGCACCACTAGGTATGAATGACCCAAAGTCAAAATCAACAACAATTTAGAGGGAAAGTGGGGGAGGGGGGGAACCCCGCGTCCGCTCTGAAAGTCCCCAGACACCGGGATCGTGTACGCCACCCAGGAGATGCCTGCAACCTGCAGGTGCCTGGTGCTCGCACGAATGTCAAATGAATGACCCAAAGTCAAAATCAACAACAATTTAGAGGGAAAGTGGGTGGGGGGGAACCCGCCTCTGAAAGAGAAACTGAAAGCCCCCACTTCGGTTTCCTGTTGAAAGGGCAACAGTTACCTAAAGGAGATGGGGTTCCTGTCATCTGGACCTTTAACCACCACGCCGGTAGCTCCGCCAGATCGAACAGCAAAAACCTGGAGGGAAGAGAAGCCACGTTAACGGGTCCGCTCTGAAAGTCCCCGGACACCGGGATCGTGTACGCCACCCAGGAGGTGCCTGCAACCTGCAGGTGCCTGGTGCTCGCACGAATGTCAAGAAATACGAGAACCGAAGGCTGCCCGTTGCGCGAGCTGTAAAAGGGGCTGCAGCAAACACACCCCGTTTCCAACTGCACCTTCCCCCCTAAACACACACACCCTTGCAAACTACCGGCACGGCGAAGTCCCAGGTCTAAATCCCCCAAAGCCAAGTGCAAGGAACGACAAAGGAGAAAACAAAAGGCTCCGGGCGGAGGAAAGCAAACGCACTGGGCTCGGCCCCGACCCTGGCCGTCACTCAGGCGGGGGCACCGGAGCGTGGGGTCACCCAGCACCCCCCAGAGGCCGGGCCGGCGCCCGTCTGCGGAGGCCGCAGGCCTGGGAGCCCCGGTTCGGGCGCGGGGTGACCCTGGGCAGCGGGGAAGCGCGCCCGGCCGCGCCGACCTGCTTGTTGGCCTCGTCGAAGAAGACATAGTTGACCGGGTTGGCCTTCTCGAACTGCACCGGCCGCTCGCACAGCTCCAGGTAGTAATGCTCCTCGCCCATGACGGCCACCAGCCTGCAGCAGCCGCGCGAGCAGCGCCCCGGCCCGGCGCAGCGATCGGCCGCCCCGGCCGCTTCCGGGTGCCACGCCCACCCGGTCACGTGGCGCGCGGCTCGGGGCTCTTAACTGGGCGACGGCGTCGGGGTGGGGCCCACCCGGGTCACGTGGCGCGCGGCTGCTCCGGGCCCTTAACTGGGCTACGGCGCCGGGCTGTGTCTCATCCGGGCGGCCGAGTCCCCGCGCGCCTGCCCCAAGGTTGTGGGGGCCGGGGATGGCATGGGGTATTGCGAGCCTGCGGCCCCGCGTCCTTGCCTTCTGGGAAGGAGTAAGAAAGGCTGGAACCGCGCGGCTCTGCGGAGAGCGGAGGATGGTCGAGTGCGAGCGTGCACGACTGAGCCCGGCGCTTCGGAAAAGAGCAGCGGCCGGGACGTGCGGGCTCTTCTGCACCGAAGAACCGTGCGAATGTGGACTGAGCCCAAGGACCTGCAGACCCAGGGACCTTGGAGTCCAGGGGCCTGCAGACACAGGCCCCGTGTGGGATCTGGAACCCAGGTCCCGCAGAGCCCAGAGATCTGGTACTGATCTGGTGCTTGCACATCTTTGTAGCATTGGTGCTGCTACAAAGGTACTGCGGAGCCCAGGGGCCTGCACACCCAGGTACCGCGGAGCCTAGGGACCTGCAGACCCAGGTCCCGCAGATACAGGTACCACGGATCTGGAACTCTAATCTTGACAGCCTAGTGATCGCAACCCGGGTTCCGCGGCGTCCAGGGACCTGCAGAAACAGGCCCCGCGAGTCTGGAATCCAGGTACTCTGGAGGAGGAGGATCAGGGGTAGGAGGAAGGGTGAACTGGAGCTTCCCTGTATTGAAGTGAGAAAGGCTTACAGGAAAGGTGATGGAGAAAGCGAGAGAATGGGGCAGTACCCAGAACACACTTAGGGTTTCTGCATCCACAGGAAAGGAGACTGGGAAATTTGTAGGTAGGAGAAAAAAAGACTTATCTCTTTCCTCGAGTGAAAAGAAATTTAAAAGTGCCTCTTTGAAGTTCAGATCATTTGGGGCCAGGGAGGTAGCTAAAAGGGCAAGGCCCAAGTTAGATGCTTGGGGCCCAGGCAGCATCAGTATCTGTGCTGTAATGACACAGATACTGATGCTGTGCAAATCTGTCTCTTAGATTTACAAGCCAAAGGCTTCTTACCTCTACTTGGATGCCTCGAACTACCTGGAAACCAACTTCTGTGAAACATCTGCCCTGATCTCCCCACCAAAGCCGTGCTCCAGCCTCCTACCCTGGTACCTGTCACCTTTGCCTTCCAGCTCACCAGGGAAGATGCTGGACTCCGGTTGGAGAGAGAGCACAAGGGCAGGTGCTCACCTTGCATGCAGCTGACCCCAGTTCAGTCCTGGCACTGCATCTGGTCCCGGAGCTCTGCTGCGACTGATGAATCCCAGAGCATGGAGCCAGGAGTAAGCCCTGAGCAGGGCTGGATGTCCCACACCATCCTCTCCCCCCAAAAGAAGCAGTTAGGGTCATCTATCTCCCTCACTATCCCAGTACAGGTCCTTCAGTTGAGAATAGGAATAGCTGGAGAAAATTCCCAAGGGAACCTCAACATTCCTCAAAAGAGCATCTTTTGTATGTGACCTTCCCCAGGGTGGCAGGAGCAAGGAGGGAGGTGATGGCGAGGAGCCCGGGGCGGGGTGACTGCGACCTCCCTTCTGCTCTCTGTGTGTCTCCTCCGGGAATGAGAATGCTCCACGACAGCAGATCTTTATCCTGACCCAGAGCCAGGCCTTTTGTCACAGAGTTGGCCGGAGGGATGGATATCTGCCGGGCATCTGAGCGCAGGTGAAGCCACTGCAAACCACGCAGAATCCTGCAAATGCCAGATTTCTTTGGGCAAGCAAGCCTTCACCACTGCGTGAGCTGATAATTTTTTTCTATACTGTTCAACATGAAAGACACCTTGATTATTTGCCCGTGTCAAATTCTCATTCTTTCTAGAGTTTATGAGTTGCCTTTGGTTTGTGTTTGTTGGGGCTTAGAAGGGTCATTTCCCTGATTCTCAGGGTTTACTCCTGGCTCTGCCCAGAGATCACAGCTGGCAGTGCTTGAGAGGTTAGATGCAGTGCTGAATAAAATTAAATGAGGGTTGGCTGCATGTAAGGCAAACACCTTAGCCTCTGTATTTCTCTCTGCCCCCTAAAAATTGCCTTTAGTGGTGGAAAATGGGTACTGGTGGAGGGATGGGTACTGGATCATTGTATGACTGAAACACAAACACGAACATTTGTAAGTATGTAACTGTACCTCACGGTGATTCACTAATTAAAATTTAAAAAAAAAATTAAGGGGCTGGAGAAATAGCATAGCAGGTAGGGCGTTTGCCTTGCGCGCGGCCGACCCGGGTTTGATTCCCAGCATCCCATATGTTCCCCTGAGCACCGCTAGGGGTAACTCCTGAGTGCAAAGCCAGGAGTAACCCCTGTGCATCGCCGGTGTGACCCAAAAAAACAAAATAAATAAATAAATAAAAATTTAAATTAAAAAAAAAAGCAGTTGGGGAGAAAGCTCTATGATCTAGAGAGCAAACTGCATGCAGGAGTACTGGGTTATAGCCCCAGTGCTGTATGATTCCCTGAGCACCAGAGTATAGCCCAAGAAATAAGGCCGAAAAAAATACATTGCCTTTTTAGGTCTGGAAGAGGATCACCATGGCTTAGAACAGCTGAATTCACATCTCTGGTATCCCACACACTCCTGTGTGCTTCTGAGGGCTCTGCTCTTGGGGCACCAGGAGTGATGACCTCCTGCACCACAGGCAGATGTGTGGGAACACTGCAAAAAGGGGTGCAACCCCTGGGCAGCACCACACCTGGGAAGTTCAGGCTCTTGGCTGATGTGCACACAAATCGCAGTGCCTTGGCGAGCGCCATGACCATAACTCGTGTGCCTCCTTTGAGAGCGCTTACAAAATGAGCTTGCATGTATGCTCCACAGCCAGTAAATGCAAACTGCAGAGAGCACTGCATTGGGAGTAAGTGTAAGCACTGCAGCCTGAGATCTGGTGCCCAGTGGAGAGGTGAAAGGAATCAAATCAATACATTCTTATTGATATCTTTATGGAAGGGGTGGGGAGGAGCACACTTGGCAGGCCTCAGGGGTTACTCCTAGCTCTGCACTCAGCATCTGGTGGTGCTCAAGAGACCATATAGGATGCTGGGGATAGAAACTTGTCCATATGCAAGGCAGGCGCCCTCCCTGCTATACTATTCTCCAACCCCAGACGTGAACCTGGTAGTCCCCAGAATACCTTAGCCCATATACACAGAACTCCAGGAAATGGCCCCCACCCTCCTGACCGGCACATTTAGGTGGGCCCCTATAGTAAAAATTTCTTCATTGATAAACCTCTAGACTCTGGAAATAGTCCTTAAACTAAAGAATGTCATATAACAGCTCTGAGAAGCACCACAGTGGCTACCGCTCTGCTCTTCTGGAAAGGCCAAGCTGTCACCCAAAGGTCCTGCTTGCCCATTCAGAGGCTAAAGATGGTCAGGTTTGAGACCGGGTAGAAGGATGCTTGTTCCAGAGAGAATGCACCTTAGTAGGTACGTTGCACACAATAGAAAAAGTGAATTAGAAAAAAATACTACCTAAATTTTTTTTTTGTGTACTATGATGCAGTTTAAAGCTCATGGGAAGGCCAGGCTTGGAGGCTCAAGGCAATTACACACAGCACTTGCCTTACATGAGTGATGTAAGTGCTGGATTTGCTCCTCCATTCTGCTAAATAAGTAAATTAAAAGTTCATTAGAGGGGCTGGAGCGATAGCACAGTGGGTAGGGCGTTTGCCTTGTACGTGGCTGATCCGGGTTCGATTCCCAGCATCGCATATGGTCCCCTGAGCACCGCCAGGAGTAATTCTTGAGTGCAGAGCCAGGAGTAACTCCTGTGCATTGCCAGGTGTAACCCAAAAAGAAAAGAAAACGCCCATTAGATAGTACAGCGGGTAGGGCATTTGCCTCGCACATGGCCAACCTAGATTTGATCCCCAGCATCAATATGGACCCAAATGTTCCCCTAAGCACCACCAGGAGTAATTCCTGAGTACAGAGCCAGGAGTAACCCCTGAACATCGCCAGATAAGATCCAAAAACAAAACAAAAAAAGTTCATTAGGGAGGAGACTATTGTTTCATAATTATTTATTGTGACTTAAAATAATTTGACTGTGCATTAAATAGAGCTTTTTTAAAATTTTTTATTAGTGAGACATCAGGAGGTACAGTTCTAGACTTACAAATTTTTGTGCTTGGAGAGCTTATTTTTAAATTACAGGGTTTTTTTTGTTGTTGCTGTTGCAGTGCCAGGGATTGAGGCCAAGTCTCACGCATGCAAATCACACTCTTGGCCACTGAGCCACGTCCCTGACCCAAAGTTAAAATACCAGACTGAGGTGGAGAAGCGACAGGCTGAGTGCAGGCCTTGCATGTCGGAGGCTTGAGTTTGATCCCCAGCACCAGAGCCCCACCAGGAGTAACACAGAGCCAGGAGAAGCCCCAAGCATCACCAGGAAAACGCTGGGACTGGGAGCTCAAAGAGCGCACAGGGGACCTGGGTTTGATCCCCAGCATCTCACTGATGCCCTGAGCACTACTGGGAACAACCTCACCCCACTAACAGCACATTAGGAATAGCCCCTGAGCACTACTAGGTAGAGCACTACTACTACCCTCAAAAAACAACCCCCAAATTAACTAATTAATAAAATACTGGGAGCAAGATGTGCCTGAGAATTTAATTGGTTTTAAATTGTGTCAAAGTAAAATAACACCTACCTACATGTTTATTTTGGGGGCCACACCCAGCAACGCTCAGGCCTTATTCCTGGCTCTGTGCTCAGGAATCACTCCTGGCAGTACTCTGGGGACCATAAGGAATGCTGGGAAACAAACCCAGGTGGCCATTGTGCAAGGCATATGCCCTACCCTCAGTACTGTCATTTCAGCCTGTGCATGTTTCTTTTTCTAGTTAAGATGCTATGCTGTGTGAGGGCTGGGCT